TCAGACAAAAATAGATTATGCCATCAAAAGAATCATCTATTTCAACTTGATTATATAGTTACATAGCCTTAATTTTCGAACGCAACGTGTTGCTGGGTGCCTGTTTATAGATGATATTCAAAAGAACTACATAAATACATTGCGTACCAGTCGTGTCTATACCCATTTGAATATTATTACGTAGCATTACTTCGTTCACTGTGTAGAAATGTTACCAGTGTACCCATGCCACGTAAGGAATACGTGCAAATACTACCAAAAGGCACGGGGTTAAATACGGCGCATGTTTAATATTTTCTTTTCTCGCAAAAGCCACGAGCATATATACGTGGTACTGTCGCGTTGATTGAACGCAATATCTGAGACATAATGCGCCGCTTTGGCTAGGTGCGAATCATCGCATTAGTGATGAATTAAGTCAGAATGTAGGAAAGCGCTTGAAAGTCTAAGGTCCGGCATATGCACGTTTATTGAAACGTGCACCTGAAAATGGAGCACCACACACTGAGTGAGCTACGTTGATCAAATAGATCCTTCGGTCGAGGTCCGTACGTACAATATGCCGTTAGGTTCTGTAGCACATTCATCCGCTACTCAACACAGCCTATGTTCAAACTAAAGACTATACATTGTGACTATTGCTAATCTATATGCCAAAATATGTATGTGTGTATTTAATAAGCTTCAAGCACGAAGGACCTCAGCCTAAGGCCTACCAAGAATGATTCGGGCTTTCACAAAGGCAAACACTATAGCCCAAGTAGGATTTGCTCTTAAAGCGTTATCTGTTTTTTGTCAACATAACGCTAAATGTTCAAAAGCTCTAGACGCTTCAAATATCATCATCTTCGTGTATCGTCTTGCGTCTTCACACGCCGCCTAGGATATGATGGGGGAAGACTTAGAATAGGTGTCCCCGTCTTCGCAAATATATGCAGATTTAACAAGTATGGCGTTGTCAGCCGAGATTAGCTGTAAGAGACGTCATAGTCGCAACTGGGCATTACTGCTATTACAGATCGCTTATGTTAACACACTATTTCAACGGTGGCTATAAATATGGGCCACCAGATTGGAAAAGCGAAAATAAAGACAAGCGTCTTTAACTACTCGTAGAGCAAGTTAAGATAGCATGAAACGATGCGATTCAAAGGCAAATTGGCAATAAACGTTATACAACGCGTAGAACTTCTAGCCGCTTTATGACAATGGTTTTATCAAAAATAGCCCTGAATTGGGTTGGCAAGTAGCAGAAACTAAATCATAGCACAGGAAGGACTTGGCAAAAGCTCTTTTGGCACAAGAAAAATTGTCAAGTCTCTTGCTACACCTGTACGGTGACATATATAATAGCTGGAGAACGGCAACGGCTTTCATAGGAAAATAAGACAACCTTTGTGTACGGTTTGACGTAAGATTCTGCTGCTGCAAGGCTATTTTCATGGTCCTGGGCGGCAAAGGCCTTTGGACTCTCTGTGTGGTCATCGGGACAGCACAGCTCATTGTTGCTTACATAACGGGAATTATGTTTTTCTTTCTGTAACAGGTTACTACGATAAAAAATCACTCTGAAAATTAATGGGCAGCTGTCTTCAACATTCTTCAAGCAGATGGCAACTATACGTAGAATGGAACTTGGCGAACCGGCTGAGTACCGTGTTCGGCGTCATTATTCCTATATAGTGATGATAATAATAATTTCTTTGTGTGTGACACATATTCTGTCAATTATAGTAACAGTCGAGAGAGGAGTAGGAGTAGCTAGTTGTAGGGAGGTCTGCAGGAGTATTACCTGATCGAAATTCCCAAAACGATCTTTGTTTTGTTCCTGTGGATCTATAAAGCTTTCGAAAGAACGAAGCTCATATTAATCGTCAATACGAGATGTTTTAAAAGGAGGCGAAACAGAGATGTAACGAGTAATTTTTATTCTAGCCACTCCGTGCAGATACAGCCATAGATGTCGTATGCCTTTCCCCTTCTACGAGTTGAACGTTTAAACGATATGATGCATATGTGTGTATCGCATAATATTTGCAGTCCATTAGGAGCAACCTCGATCAGATGTGGTCACTAAAAAAAGAAGGCAACTTGTGTATACATTTTATACGTGTGGCGTGTCAAAGACTTTCGATTCTTTTTGCCCTTCAGGATTAATAGGGCTTGTATATGTGATACGCCACAGTCACGATACAACGTTTTATACCAGTAACTGTTTTTGCCACCACCATCACGTATACATGCACACCGACCACAGTGTCTTGAGTTTTTCGTTCGGTAACACGCATCAACCTTGACGAAGATCATTTATGGAATTAAGCAGCCATGGTCATAAGCTTTTTTTCGCTTACATTTGTTGTTTGGACTAGGTATTTGTCCGAAAAAATCGCCTGTTGCTAAAACAACAAGTCCCCCTTCCCCCGGGGGCTATATAGCGTTTCATTTATCGCAAGTCAACTGTTTGTTGAAACCATTACATCAGCACACTCAAACTGAACACTTCCCGCCTTTTTTACAACAAAATCACGCAATCAAAGTATAACGGTCGCGCCGTCGTGATACTGTTTGTCGCAAAGCGGCTTACGCACTGTATTATTTTAAGATAGTCTACCACTAACTGCCACCACTATTCACTAACTGACTTTTCGAAACCGAGGTGTCCAGGGGTCTCTAGCTAGGTCAAGTAACGGTTAGCTAGCTAATAAGAGTAGATGGGCAAAGCCTGCGGGTTACCAAGGCTCTGTACAGGGGCAAATGGGTGGAAGCGCCTGAGTGAACAGAGACGCATGTTCTGACGGGCATAGATGCACCGACTAAAAAAGGCCAGTAACTGAAGACGTGCTACTGGCAGAGGTCAAGGGGCCAATGAATTGTACAGCAAAAGTTAGGAACAGCAAAATGTCCGTAGAGGCAGGGAGAGTAGGCGATAGGCCTGCTGTTGTGGGGGTGTTTGGTTAGAAAAAGTCCGCCGGTCGGCTATCATAGAATGACTGTATGGAATGTCCAGTAGAAGAAGAAAATGAAGAGGTATCCATAGAGATGGTGACATCGTCCTGTGCATGGTGGGAACTAGCATTACTGGGACAAAGGCGAGAAAGGTAACTTAGTAAGGGTGAAGTGGAAAGAGGTAATGGAGGGGCAAACTCCACCTGTACAGTTTTTCTTCTTTGACCAATACTTGCAACGGCGGCTACTGCTTTAACCTGACCGTATAATTGGACGACGGGATACAAAGGAGAAAAACTATGAGCGAGTTTGCACAGAAACAGATTACGAATGTCTGAACTCTGCACTATTATGAGTCCGGTTACACCGATGAGATGCACTCCCTGAGGTGGGCCTGCAGTAAATTTGAGGCCAACGAATCGATTGATTTGCGAACATAAAGAACAAACACAGAATCCTAAGGAGAACGGGCCATGATGTTGTTACTACTTCGATAGGAACTCCTTTCGTCTTGTCTGGAAGAACAGTTCGTTTTGCGTATCCATGTGCCTTGACATAGCTAAGATATAGCTATTCATGACAGCCAACTAGCTAGGTTTAGGCGTCCTTGCTCATTATGCTACGTACCAACGACGGTGTATATATATGATAGTTTGCGATTACATTGTTTTTATCTTATCACGATCATAATAGAAAATGTATACAAATAAATCATCTGATATAAGAAGAAATAAGGTTATTTAAAATATCTGATATCAGTTCATTCATTAATATTAAACTCATAAGATAAACGCTCAGTACATATACTAAGAGAATCTTTCCATATGTGTGACCTGAATATCGAAATTTATCGTCTCAGTAAGGCGACAGTGGTCCAGGACACCATCAGCGTATCCTACCGTATCGTGCAATATCGTATTGTTGCATTGACCTAAAGGGCAGCCCTCAGGGAACCACGTCTGCCATAAGATCCGGATGTGATATCAAGATGATAATATAGGACAAATACTATTAATTAAATACTATTAAATCGCACTGTCACTTGTTACGGGCATTGTCAGCTCGACGTAGGCTATGCTAGAAATCTGCAGGACAAACAAGGCTCCAAATAGCTAGATCATTTGTAAAGACCCTTCGGCTGTATTTAGCCAACTGGTACCGTATCCAATCAAGTGGTCAAAGACAAAAAATACGAATCTGTTTTGTCATCGTATGGCAGTTAACTATTCTGGTTCTCTATGAAACATGCTGAACATCGTCCAGGGCTCAGTAACCATTTGGGCTTAAAGCTGAACTCCACAATGATCAGCGAATCGGATAAATTGTGGATTCAACTTCAGTGAAGTTCTGTCGAGCAACAAATGCTTTAGATACTGTTGCTTAATTAGGTTCTATTTCAAGCGCACTGCTGACACCTAACGGACCATTTTTGACTTAACGACCACGTCGTCAGAACAACATCAGATTTGTCCAAAGCTATATTTTATTTTATACTGACGACTACCAGCAAAGGTGAATAAATTACACTGGGTTTGATTTACTCTGTACTTTAGGGTGCCATTTTCGGTGGAGTATTACTACAATATTTCTTTCCAGGCTTTTCTATTAAAACACATGCCTAAACTAGGAGTTAAACTAAAACAACATGCTATTTTGCCTATTTAAGGGTTGTTTATCACCAGTTCTGTATGATTTACCTTTACCGACGTCGGTTAACTAATCTAAATATTCCAAGGAACTTACAAACGCTGTTCTAATAATTCACACTTCTATAATATTATCAGGCCCTATCGTTACCACCATAGAGATTGTATTAGCCCAGAATAGGTACCTTGGAATTATTCTAATTTTTGTTATTTTTCTATTACTATCCATTTTTATCACTCTTCTATTTCTAGAATGTCTATGTGGATAGGCCTTGTATCGTCATTTGCACTAGCAGTATCATATGTCATAGTCCTTGTAAGTGCCAAATAATTTTTTGTAAAACGATCGACCGTATGTTAGAGTTTTATCTTGTTCTGACGCGTTCCCTGTTCCATTTTCTATTCCAGATGCGTCGTAGCGACTTGAGGAGGCTGCGCGCATGGTGAGATGGATAGCGCGGCAGGCTTTCGGGATCCTTCCTGTTGTTGAATTGAACTCCCATGTTGTCCGATGTCGCTCGTCCACCTTTCTTCCTGAGAGCCACCGCGCCTCCGCAATAATAGTAGCAACAGCCACATATAGAAACAACGAGAGTGACAACTGAAGTCAAGTCGAAGACGGCCATGTAGTTAGCCTCTTTCCTCGTAATTGAAGTCGCCAAGCTTACCAGTCGAAACGGAGTCGCATATTACCGTCATACTAAATCGTAAACCGTCTATCGTATTGCTACGTTATCCTGTTGTACGATACAACGTCAAGACGGTAATATCGATCGGTTGTTGGTTCATAGTCCGTTGATACTATCGCTTGCATCGTTGAACCATACTTTTTTCGAGTAACTCGTGTTGTTCGTCTGATACCCAGTCCCTAATCCGGTATTATTGTACCTATTGCTACGACAGCAGTGGTACCCCTAACAACAAGTGCACTTCAGTCAATCTACGTCGACGCTGCCGATACTTACTACCACTGAAAGTGCCGCTGGATAATTAAGCTCGAAGCCGCCAAGATGTACGACTCACCATTGTCCCTGCAAAGGAACTGTATCGACTTTATCGCCAGCAACCTAACGGCGGTATGTCGGGTCGAGCCACCCACACCCCCGGACCAAAGCCCGGGCTCCACCGGGGCAACAGATCTTCAGCGCTATGTATTCAAAGATTCGGATGTCTTCTTCCATCAGGGCTTATCACAGAGCTTACTCGAGACAATCTCGGAACAGGTGGGTGGAAAATGCAAATTAATGTAGTAACAATAGGGCCAGTAAGTATCAGTGACCATTTGGCAGATAATGTATTCTGCTAATACTGTATCCGTTAGCTCAACGGTCCTATTTTTGGGTATATCTAAAGATGATATTTGGAGGAAATGATATTAGGTGCATTTTTGTGATTAAAAAAAAAGCAGTTACGAGCTCTATTAGTTCGTCTTTCGTCAGAGTGAGACTGGTTTATCAGGTGATTCTTTTGTAATTTACCATAGCAAAGTGACTGTGGAAATGTGTCTGTAAGTACGTTAATTTTTTTCTTAACGTTTAGCTAAAGCAACTTTATAACCCTCCAAACCCTCTAACTCTATAAACCCTCCAAAAAAGAAGTTTCACCTAATGGTCACAGTCATTTGTACATGTGTCATGTATTCCGATAGATAATTAGTAGCATTTCGCTTAGTTAGACCTTGGGCACCCGAAATGCTTCGTCATCTGTTTGGACCCGACCGAAAGGCCTATGGGGTTCGCGCAATTGGCCACATAGTTGTGCAACTCGAAACGTGTGGCCCCTCGCTTAGCACTGATAGTATTATGGATTGTCGGCCTTCACAATGTAATCTTGTCTGAATTGCGTTAACCAAGATCTTATGTTAACATGGTGAACGCTAGGTCATAAAGACAGACCTCATACAAGAGCATAACACGGGTTTCATGAACATTTTCATTTGCCTCATTTACCTGGAGGGAAAATCGGTCAAGGTCTTGACGGCTTTAGGCGGGCAAAAGGAGAGGACGGTGACCAATATCTGGTAATACATGCAGTTGGTAATTCATAAAAAATGCTGGCCAAGTAACGCAACTCATGATGGGGTAAATAGAAGTAGAATTTAGGGGGCAGAGAAAATCAGCAGTTTTATCAGTATTCGAATTCAGACGCTTTAAGGCCATTTTGACACGTACAGTGTAGAGATACAACTTTTTCATTATATGATAATCAAAATAATACTAACAATCATACAGTCGATTAGAGGTTTCTAGAACAATAGTTAGATGTAGTACTGGGAGACCAACGCCTTGTCCCTGAACATTGTTTTTACGTGATCTAAAGATAGCTTCATTTGATGGTTATGTTCACGTATACGAATTATTGGATATTAGATTCACAAGTCTCTGGAGGGGTTTTGCCTTCAGATCAAAATTATCTGTTTTATTTTAGACATATATGACGACGTGATTACGCTCTTGTTTGTAGCACCTATCCAAAATATTCGGTGTTCGTTAGACCAGTCAAAATGTTGTACATCGGAAAGTAGCTGCATATTCCTTCTTTGAAAAAGGCCACAGTATGGCGTGAGCGCCTGCGCACCTTTCAGGCCGCGTTTCTAAGTACCGCTTTGCGGCGACCCTTCAAACTGCCCTGCTTATTCCACGTTGCCACTAGCTGTTCGCCCTTTCTTTCGCGCTCTCTTTCTAACGGATGTTGTTTTTATCCCCGTTTCTAAATCGACCATTATAACTCTTGTTTAGCTGAAAGCGAGCCAAAAGAGGCACTCAACGTAAAAACGAATAAAAGGAAAAGCCATATTTCTCGTTTCTTCCCAGGATTTACTGTGCAACAGGAAGAGGGAAGCCCCACATGACAATGTCAATCCTTCGCCAAACAGCAGCACCCCCGCCCCCCAAACTGCTGCAGTCGGCAAGAGAAAGGTACGAAAGGTCGTAAGGACGTCGCCTTTTAGTGGCGGACAAAAGCTTTTCCTCCACAACTGGACATCTCGCCTGAGTGCTTAGAGTTAGGAGAGCTTCTTCCAAACCTATGTGTCTGAAACGCTGTGAAGAGGTCACTGGAGAGGTAGAGCCGCTGCTGTAACAATTACTGAAATTCATGTCGTAAATAGCGCTGGAAAAGTAATGTCGCACAGTGTATAGAATATTCTTGACTGCTTTCTGGTGCTGCTCGATTTCATATGGTTACCTAACGCCGTCAACTGAATCAAGCTCACTGCGGTTTGGTAGAAACTGTGCCTTGCCCCTCATATTTATTATTTATTTACGTAGTTCATATGTAGCCACGGTGTTTTGGCTTGATTGTAACAGTTTCAATAGTTTCACACTCTAAAGGAACAGTAACAGGTATTAATATTGGATTAATAGAGAGTCGCATGTTTTGAAAAACATCGCCCCTTTCCGCTTGCAAGGCGATACAAAGCTCCGATGGATCGTGGCGTGATTGGGCATACGCTGACGCAAAGCCCAAATAGAAACTGCTTCATAGAGCTACTCTCTACTTATTTCTAAATTAATTTGGGATTGTGGCTACGGTTTGTATACAGGGCATTTAGAGACGCCTCGAAATTCAAACTCCTTCTTAATTCGAGCCAAGTTATTTATCTGTAGGCTTATGTGTGTGTTATATCGTTCAGAAAAAAAAAGGCTGAAGAAATCATTTACACAGAATCGACTAGCATGGCAAAAAGTCACTTCCCTCAAACATTTCATTTAAAAAAAACGTTATTGAAAACCCCGTAACTACCTACATATTCGATGACCAGCGACAGCTTGGGTATTAATACAAGTTGTGTATTAATTTGCCGATCACATATGTTCATGCTTGCCAGAGATGGCTTTTAGGTGTTTATCAAGATTTTTCTCCTTTTAGCGCCTAACATAAGCAAATTCGATACGGACCATACAAACTAAAAACGGGTTAGTTTCTAGGTAAAAACTCCTCCGGTTTGCATGACGTACTTACAGAACACGCATTCGCCACAGCTGTTTGAATAATGTACCACGCACCTTCGAGAGTACCACGCTTTTAAGACACGCTGAATTTCCTAATTTGTACGATTCCACTTTATGATCCATAGTGATGAGAATCCAGGATCAGCTGGTGAATAAACGCGGGGTATCAATAGAAAGAAGAAAAAAGACTTCCTCGAGATAGCAAAAACCCTTACAGTGCAGCCCCTGTGGTGATAGGACCGGTGGAGCATCCTGTTTTCACGAATTTTTTCATAGGAGGTAGCGAGTGCTAGATTTAATCGCGTATGCTTCTCGAAGTACGGCAGTTTACAGCATTGGGCCTTATCGCCTCGGCTAATATTCTTTGTCGTTCGATCTAATACCCTTACTATGAGGTCGTATCTTTCAGAAAGTTTCTTGGAACGTACAGCGGGATGACTGGAAATATAGGGTAGTCGTTAAACCGCGAAGTATTTTGTGGGGGAAAAGTTATAAGCCATCTGTTACAACTGGTGGATTGTACAGATATTTAGTGTACTTCATAGTACTAGCCACAAGGGGATGAAGTTTTTTATATGTTATTTTCCACAGTGCAAGGCTAATTGTAGTTAGTTGTTAAGAAATGGACCTGGGGGCTAACTGTTTGTTTTAGGAGCCCTGGTAACCTCGTTTAACGAACAAATAGATAGAAACGTACTTTATACACAGTTCTCCTTCGTAAACTGGTAGGACGTCAAACAAAGCGACGAGCGTTGTTCACTTTCGGTTCGACAAATCAAAAGTTTTATTTGAAATGTACTGTGACTTCTAGGTTGAAACCCAACGTACACATGGGACGGCCACCCTTCTACTTTAACTTTTCAACGTATTACGAACGTTGTTTTTGACATCGAGAGAATTCGATCGAATCAAAAGTCTGGTCTATAACAGCATGGCGAATGGTGACAGTAAATAAAACATTGTGCCATTCTAAAAAAAAAAAAAAAAAAAAGAAGAAAAAAAAACAACAAAACAGATTTACTCAATGTTGATCGTCGACATACGTGAGAATTATTCCGTTTGTTGTTTATCTTTGCTTCTCCTATTTCTTGCGAAGACACTGAGAAGCGTATAAAATACAAGATGTATTTATTGTTTGACATGGCTCGAATAGTTTCCACAAGTGGAGAGATACATTACACATGTGTGTAAATGGTACGAAAAGGCTGCTTCTAACCTACAAAATGTGTCAAGTGTATGTCGGGTACTGCCTTAATGAAATACTGCTTCAGGCGGCAGGCTCCAGTATGAAGCGAGCCGTGCGCTTTCGAATCTAGGCTATCTCACTCTGCGACTCGTTAGCGGAAGTAAGCGTGTCAGCACTGCACTGTTTCACGGAGATATCAGTCTACCAATGGATAGTCCGTGAGCAGCCATTGATGAAACGCTTGAACGTTGAAGTCTTCGACACAGAACTGCCCCTACATGTTATTCTAAAATGTTCTAAATCGATTCATTATTACGGTTACGCACAATTAAGCGTTTCATAGACTTCTCCGTACGTCTATGCGCTTTGAGGCGGATGGCCGCATTAGTCGTCGAGCGTATACTTTTTTAAGTTAGGCCGATAGTATAATTGCAAGACCGTTAGCAGGGCGGATTCCTTTCCGGGCATCGGAGCTAATCAGACGTCAAGCTTTGCGGGTCGAGACGGCTCTGCCGTCGTGCCTGAGACTACTCATTATCGGCATATGGACACCCATTGATTCAGTTTCTTTATCGTTCACGTAAGCTATTGCTGGTGGGAGATGCACGAATAAACGAACGTGCGCGAAGTACCTTCATGAACGGTTACGGACCGCCTGGTCTGATTACTAGCTTATTTGAAGCGGCTGACACATGGATGATTGTACTGGTTGCGTTTTACGTAAATACGCATTGTAGTACCTTGGAAAGGAATTAGATCAAACATATAATGTTTCATAGGCAGTTGTTGTGAGATGTTGCTGCGGCGCGACAAACGCAGGAAAGACTTAAGCTAATGTCATTATTGTTAATCTGGTCAAAACGCTCGTACGGGGCGAACATGTGTTCCCTTCTGGCCACTCAGTTGTCATAACTATGATAATCAAACACTTAATCCATACAATGATCGTTGATTTACATGTTACGGTCATTTCAGGTTCCGCTTACTTTTAAACTGTATATCGTTTTCGACGACCATGTTTTTCCTTCGGTGAGAAAGGTATTCAAAGCTGAGGCTGCGCTCCTTGCCGTTGCTGCATAATAAAATGCATCATTGTTATTTGTACGAATAGACTTCACTTTGGTATCAGCCATTAATTTACCGGAACTTCATTGGGTCAAAAATGCACAATCGTATCAAACATTGTCTATTTTAATGAAATCGGACGTTTTGCGTACTCTGTATGCCACTGATATTTCGAGACATTTATCGTGCAGGATGTCTGATTTGAGCTGACCTGTTATTGAAGTTTAACTTTTGACATATCTAACTCATTATGTAATAGTAACCATCTAGGAATCAATACCTAAAACTCTGAGCGTTAGCCAATGCAACAAGATCGTACAAACTTTTAGAAATATGCCACTACGTGGGTCATGCACGTATGATTAAACTGGCGATAGACATAAGATGTAACCGTTCAGATGTGTGAATGTTAATCGAAAAACTAGACAATTTTAATTTTTAAATGTTTCACAAATCGTCGCCAGTGTCCTGATTCACGGAACGGTCCTTAAAGGATATTTTTGAGTCAGTCTGAGGTATAATTGGAGAAGAAGTTCCTCCATACTTTTCTTTCGCATAGAAAGAAAGCACTGTGCGTACGCGCACAAATCGCAGAAATACAAGTTTCGATCTTAAAGTAATCAGCGTTAACCGTTATGTGAATTGTGCTTTAGCTCTCCATACCAGCGTTGTTATTTTCGTAGCACGGCCGTTACTAATCGTTTGGCCTTCTTTTTGCCTAATCGATTTCAGGGTCGCCTCACCGATAACGTTATGGCCCTATTTGAGGCCCGTTCGACTCGTCTGGAGCGGGTTACAATCAAAAACGCTGCTCACGTTTCGACCCGGGGACTTCGCGTACTCAAAGCACACAAGATACACGAGCTTGAAGCTGTCGGTTTATGTCGGGTAAGTAACAGCATCATGGATGTCGCGAGGATTGAAAATAGTACAGAAACGATCAGCATAAAACAAAGACCTACCACGCCGAAACAATTTACGATAACAAGTTAGACGGCTCGAGTGTCTTTATTAAAGGAATCCGCTTTCTATTACAGTAATTTACGCATCTCCTACTGCTTAACAGAATAGAATAATAGAGTAGAATAAATGCTTTCCAACTGTGACTTTTCCCTACTCTGTACGTGCATATTAACCAGCTGGTTAGGGAGCGCATGCAAGCGTATGTTCAGGTTAACTAACAGCCGTTGAACAACGAACGCGGTGAGGACCTTTGAATTTTTCGACGGTGAACTTCGGATAACGTGTATAGACGAGGCAGCGCGGCGCTGTCTAACACTTGGTTCTCTAAGGGATTAGTTTCTAATCTGGCAGGGTGCGTAAAATGAATTATTTCGGCAATGATGCCATTTTTTTGCCGCTGGACAAATTTTTCTCTTGAAAAACAAGGCTCATGTACGAAGTATCCCAATTCCTTCCCGAATGGAATACCTTTCGATAAAGTTAAATACGCTTTTTATAAATCTCAAGCGTTCCTTTACTATTTACATTATTACAAACGACGTTTGTCTACTTTCTGCTGGTGACAAAAAGCTTTCGCGGGATAGCAAAGGCAGCGATAAAGATCTCGACCTTTGATCACACTAGAACACCTCTAATGAATGTTTTCTTCGCGTTCCTTACTGCAGGCTCACAAGGTTTGGAGTCACTGACTTATTGTGTCAGCATATAAACTGTTCGATGAACTCACTCCGACCGACTCCGTATGATCATTACCTTAGCTGAAAGCAATGTCACGCTCTGTCGGTCGATTTTTCCTGCTAGACCTGCTAAGCCTGATGGGCCTTATGGTATCCTGGCGATCCCTAGTGATTTCCCGACTGTCTTCTAATTTGGGTTGGTGCTGTGCCGATGTCGACAGGTATTTTGCTTGATTCTTAGTCTTGCCGCTCCAAATAGGGAGTCCTGCTTTGGTTGTTTCTTGGTTTTTTTAGCGTTGCCAGGAGCAATGGCTCGCGCATGCCCTGGCCTAAATGCTATCCACTGACTTTTCGTCCATGACGTTGTGCCATAACACCTACACACCTGCACTCTATACGCCAACCGGCACCAAAAAGAACAGTTTGCGAGCAGCTGCCTCAACGGTGGCAGGCGATCCATTGTCAAGCAAAAATACGACGCATGTAATCTGGTTAATCAATAAAGAGTTTCGTAACTCTACAAGCTAAGTGTACATTATTGAGGGCTTCTCAAATATTTAACGAGCTGTCGTTCTAATTTTTCATTTTGTTTTGGGATGGGAAAATTCTCGATCGACCGACAATTTTTTGACATTCTCTGAGGGATCGAGTGAGCTTAATGGATTCAGTAACTAAGTGTTTCGAATGTAGTGAATGAGTCAGAAGAGCAGAAAATTTGTGATGGCACAGAAGTTCCTCTTATTGCTAGACGGCAAGAATTACTTTCTCACGGTAAGGAACGCTCGAACTCTTTGCTTCGACGAAGGTCGTGCTAAACGACGAGAGCTCACTTAGCGCAAATGTTCGATCAATACAGCTTTACATTACGATTCCTATGAGAAAAGTTTACTTTTTTGAAAATCCCCCCCCCCCCCTCTCTATCTTTCTCTCTTTCAGCTAAAAATCCTGTCTAAACAGTAAGCGGAGTTATCGAAGACGAAGATTGTCAGTATTATGCCGTGAGGCTAGAAAGAAAAGCTGTTAGCATTTCCTGTGATTTTCAAAGCATTAAAACATCCTAGCAGAAAATACGGTTTTTCTTCGCTTTCGATTCGTGTACCATTGGATTTTCATTATCAGACATGCTAGGTTATCAGGCAGGCCAAGGGAAGGTTACCTTTTGAAGGTCCCAATATTGCATAGAAATATCATACGATCAAGGGAGTCGGCAGTGACGAATCGTGAAGAATAGCCAAACAACAATCGTGTTGTGTCATTAGTAGGACCAGAATCGACTCGATCTATGTGACAATGATGAACAATTCGCTGCAGCGTTATCCATGAACACTGAGTGGGTGTCTTGGTGGCGCCGTTCGTACCACATTTGTTGTATTTTCGAGTCTACTCACCAAAAAACTGCCTAAGACTCTGTCCTTGTCGACATTATCTAAACCTATGGCTAATTTATAAGACTATATGTCAAAACAACTGACTCGAGGGGGACAGAGTACGATTGGAATAACTGAAAGCTCTGTGGCTATCACTACATGGTGCGGAAAGGCCGCGCAACTACCGCGAACAAGACCGAAGTAAGTTCTTGGCTGACTTATTTTTATTTTATTTTTCTGTTGTTTTAGTTTATTCCCTTAATCAATATGGACAGCTGGTTAGGGAGCCGCCGTACTAACGTATTTCTGTCATTGATTAAAGATACTGCGTGCTAACTATTAAATTGTCAATCTGGCTGTACGTAGTAAATATTCTAGAAAGGCAAACAAAAATCACCGAAGCGGAGTTGATGGTTAAACAATCGCTTACATCATACGCTCGGTTGACGGTGTTGAAATGAATTTGTTTTCTAAAAATGAGACATACATATATAGGATGTTTGACATAAAATAGCTATACGTCTAGCGAGCCATAAGAAATGTTTTAGGCAGCATATATCCGATGATGGAATATTTCCAGTGCATAGAAGCTAGCTGTTGTCATGGCATTTGACAGTAGCACAGGGGAACGTTCGGTTCAGCTTAATGTCATCTTTACTAATATAAACCGTTCATTTATAGTAGTTCTAACTTACAATTATTGTACAAATCATATGACTTTAAGGTACGTAAGACAAACATGTTACTGTTCAATTTGAATTGTGTCTAACACCGTCACCGTCTCTCCGCCGCAGGGTGCTTGTCCTCTGTTATGTTTAAAACTTAAAGCTGATAGACTGCCGGATCGATGTGTGCTTTAGAGTGAAATTCTGATGCGCGTCTTAGAGACGAACGGCATCTGAACGCCATTCTACAAATAGCATAAGCACTCACGTAGAAGGTTGTCAAACTTTTGGATAATTTCGAAGTAAATATAAGATGCGAGATATTTACTCATGGAAAATATAGTCAGGGATAATTAACTCTGACATATTTAGCCGGCCGACATGTAGGAGGCTGCGGGGGAATGATAGCGTTCACATTTTTCGATGGCACTTGATAGTACGTTGGTTGTGCGGGAGAGCTCCTTTCTATTCATGCTACCAGTTACGTGCTTCCCCAATTATCTTTTACTGTAATACGTTACTAATCGATGTTGTACAATTTGACAATCGACAATGATAGGTGACGGTCAACGATTTGATCGCTTGTCTGGGCGAGTGGACGATGGACAATTTGCGCTCATTGAACGTGGCTGAATCGACATTTATATCAGCCTGTGCACGACGCGAGTTCCCACATAACATGCCAGTCATTATCTCGCTATCCAAACTGCGTAATCTTCGAGTGTTGAATGTATCGTTTACGGAATTTGACACCCATTCCTTAGAGATTGTCTCCCAGGATTTGCCCCATCTGTGCGTGCTCGACATCTCACAGACCAAAGTGAACGATGTCTCTTCGTTGAGGTAAGTGTGCCGGAGGCGACATCGAACACAGTATCATAGAAGTTAGTAAATTTTCGAGCCGCAAATCATATGTATATAATTTGTTAGCTAAAATCTTAAAAATGAAACAAAAATGTTAAATATGCTCAGAATAAGAGTCTAAATTAAACCAAATGAAGGCTTTGAGATTGTTACGCGATTTCTTTGCTTTCAGAAGGCTTTTGCCTCAGACTGTATAGACAGAGTACACATTTCGAAAGAGGTACGATACGACTTTCGTTAGGTTTCGTAGGTGAGAATGTTGCTTATGAGTCTCGCATGTATACAAGGTACGAACGTGGAAATACCGATAAAGAATGGATAAAATGAACATTGCCTTAGTTCATGTGACTTCCAATAGCCGAACCATGAACAGCGCGAAACATTCTCGTCTAAAGCTCGCATTTTGTTGGATTTCCGCCCAGTTTAAACATTTCTGACTGCTTTTTAATACCTAGGATATTTTCTATTTCGTATGGTGGAATTTCTGAAATAGGCGCTTAGCAGTGTCGATCTATTCAAATAATCGCGAGGATTCCCATTTGTTACTGCGGTATTGCATTTAAGAAAGGAGTTAGTCACGCATTAAATGTTATCAATATCTCGTTCGGATGCACTATTCACTTTGATCGTAAACAATAGACAACTTAGCGAGTGCTTTCTCAACTTCCTGGCAACTACCTTCGAAGGTTGACACTTTTTCCCGATTCTGATATACTGACATTTTTCTCGCGTAGCCAGCTGCTGGCCTTGTTCTAACATCGAAGACTGATGGCAAAAAAGTCGCATTTACTTACTAGAAAAACTCTTTCGCTCGACTTACGTAGTTTGTGCTTAATAGGAAAAAAAACGTAAGAAAAACATAAGCACGGTTAGTAAAACAAGTTCAAACCCAAGCTTCAAATGATTCAGACAGTTGGCTCTTTTCAGGACAAAGCGAAGTGGGCCTGTCTAGTGGGTTCCGTTTCGAACCCAGACCGTTCCAGTAAATATGTCTAAGTTTAGAAGCCAAGCAGGCCACCACGAAACTCCTACGGCGGTCAATAGTTCAACGGAAAAATGACAAGCTAAAGTCTGTTGTTCTGCCAAGTAGGCAAAGTCAACTTGGAAACCGCCGAACTTGTAACGCGTAGTTTGTGGCCCGCTTAAACGGGGGGCTAGAAGACGCGCTTTTTATTTAAACTGACATTTCTCCTTCCGCATGTCATTCCCCGAGTGCGTTTCTATATAGGTCGGACGCAGTAGTCTAACTTGTCTGCGCTAACTCAGTTTTTCAACGCCGTACGCGTGTTCGTGCTGCTGTTATGGCATCTATGATCTGTGACATGAGAATTTAGCAGAGTGTTATAAGAGGCATCGATAATTCTCCAACTTTTTTCACGACTGCTGCTTAAGCTAAAGCTTAAGCAGCACTCGAGAAGATCTAGTTCTTTTATTTTATTTATTTATTTTTTATTTAATTTTACTTTGCAGAAAATGCGCCAGTCGACTTATATCCTTGAATCTATACAATCTCCGTCAGTTGGACATGTGTGCGCTAGCAACGACGCTTCAACTAGCGACGAAGCTTCGCTTCCTTGATGTCTCCTGTGATCGCGATTCGGGCCAGTACACGACGCAGGAAACACACACGACGCTACATTCGGTTAAGCCACTTCTGGAGAAGTATGAAAGTCTTCCGCAGCTAAGGGTGTTCGACATATCAGGACGTGAAGGCATCGATATATCTGATTTAAGGTGTGTTTACTTTGACCCCCTAGCGAGTAGGCAGACAAGCAGGTAGGCAGCCCGACTGTGGGCATCCTTAGCAATTGTTCTAAAGTTACGTAAACTGAACACCGAGCCTTACATCTGGATTATTGCCACGAATTATTATGGAGCGTCAATCAGAATTTTTTTTACAGCAGTAACACGTTCTAGATTTACACGTGTCTCAGTCCGTAGTTCTAAGTCGGCGTTTCACCGTATTAATACGACTTGGCCTTCGAGCGCCTTGTTCTCATAGTAGCACCCATGGTGGTAACGATGGAACTCACGTTCAGTGATTCATGGCCGTCACAGGCAACATTTGGTTAGTAAAAGAGCAATTGCTCTTTTGCAGCCGCCGTGTTGTTTACTTACGTATGTCCTTTGTACTTGTAGCAGTCAGCAGTTGCTTCGAGACGTTAGCATTTTGATAAGTCTTCACGATTAAGTTTGCATGTATGTAAATGAATATTCTCAACTTCGTAACACCCAGCTCATCAAAGTCGCGCCATATTTTTGTTCTCCAGAGAAGAAGACACGTGGTTCAAGACTTCGTGACCTTGCACCGCATTTATAGACAACTTACTCTTCGAATGTTGACGTGGCGCTTCGTTAACTTATGAAAGCTACCCCTGGGTCATTTCCAGTAACCTATATTCGAACCTAATACTTTGAACAGCGATTGAGCGTCTACTATGCAACTAACCTAAAATAATTCTGTCCCATAAATAAGCTAGCAATAACAAACAATGTGAAGTAGGAACAAAAACCTATTAAATTACGATAGGTATCAGGTTTACGTAGCCTAACGCTAAACCTGTCGCTCACTTGGTAGGAATAGGCATACAATAAGATTCTATAGTGTTCAACCTTCCTCGACTAATTGTATTCCTCGTCGTCACTGCATCCGTGCGTAACGTTTCTAGGGCATTCATTCACACGCACCCCCTACTGACGTTTCTCGGTTTGGCCGAAACAGAAGTGTGCTTTGACCCAATGTTCACGGCGAATAGCCCTGGTGCCCTTTGCATAGCGGTGTCAGGCTGCGGCAGCGAACCCCAGGTACTGGAATCGTTACGGCGATACTCAGAGCGACGGTTCTTCGTACAGAAATCGCTCTATCACCTTTATGGCTACACGCAGAACATGACGGAGCCACGAGTGGACATTATCGAATTAATCTTGCCTGGCATGCACAAACATTCTCGGGTGCTTGGCATCCAGATGGCAGCTACGGCTTGTCTATATAATTTATCAAGAGGTCTACTCGGACAGAAGATCCATCCGATTTGGTTGAAGAAGATTGTGGAATTAACCTTGACAGCAATGGAGACTTTTCCCAAACATCAGCAACTACAGAAAAACACTCTATTGACGTTATGCTCAGATCGGATCTTGCAAGACGTGGTATGTACATGTTTATGCTATTATTATTGTTTTGTTTATTACCGTTCTTATTAGTGTTAGTTTAATTGATAAATGAGCTCGTTATTGTTATTATAGAAAAACTATACAACAACTTGTTGTGAATATTCTATTTGTGATAATTTTCAATGTAGTTCTATATTGGGTACAGCTGTACAAATATCATTGGTACATGAAGATAAATACGTTAAGCAGCTTGATAAAACCAGTGGTTTAAGAATTGAATAGCACTAAAGCGACAGTATATATATATATATATACATATAGATGCAAACTTGGGCGTCTTGTTTGCACTTTGCTATACCCACGTCACCTTTGGCAAGAAAGAAGTCTAATTAAACGCTTTGTTGGGTTTTTATGTGTTTCTGTATGTCATGTTGTGACATTTGGCCTGATGTTGTTACTATGGTTGCGGCAATCATCTACTGCCTCCTGTTTTCCCGCAGTCCTTCGATCGTTACCATTGTGCGAAGTTGGTAATGGACTCGCTGGTATTTTTTGACGATCCCGCTATGAACCGCATGTCCGTGGCCATTTGTTCGATTCTTGCCGCCAAGATCTCCACGTGCGAGACTTCATCCCTAGGCGCAGAGCCGATGTATATGAAGCGACTGCTACGAATCGTCAAGGCCAAGGTGTGTACAGGCGCAAACAGACGCTGGCATTATCGTGAGTGATTCCTGACGCTGTACTTTATATAGACGCTTACCACATCGTAACCAGCCACACACGAGAGCATCACCTGTTTATAAACCCAGTCAGAGTATAAAGAACCGTCCGAGAGTCTCTCTGTAAAGGTATCACATAATACATCTACAAAAACTATCTTAAGCATTTACCAATGTTTTTTAGAGCCGTTGGAAGTAGCATTTTTGTCAATAAAACGCACATCACTTTTCTGATCTCTCTCTCTCTCTCTCATACGGAGACATGCAGCACTATTGATTGTGCCCTGGAAATCACAATAGAACAAGCCTATTTTTTTTTTTTATAACAGTTGGGCTCTAAAGAAGTTTCTATTTCATACCTAGTTTATTCATTCAATTTAACTAAAATTATAATAACAATTATATATATTGTCTTATACGTTGGATCAGTCGAAAAAAACCAATGTATCTTAAAGGCACGTAATGGGGCAATCAATAGAAACAGAAAAAAGAAAGGTTCGCGGCTGTCAGCCTATGACGTTGTTGTAAATTCCTGTGAGAGTCCTTCGTCTACTAACCGAATATGAAGCACGTCGTCGAGCACATTTGTGATACGTTACTATTAGGTACCATATGGTTGGCCTCTAATGCTTCTTGCCCGGTGAGTAAAACTTCGTGACCCTCGATCGAGACATCGAACTGCTGCGTCTCCAGGCACTGCTGAACTGATCCCGGCTGCGATATAGTCGCTATAATGGTACCGCCGTTGAAATGATGGGGTGATTAGCACGTGTCCGTGAGCCTTACGGGGATGGCGTACAAACTATTTTGTCAAACCATTTCTGTATAAAAGTAAAAATTGCTAAATTTAGCTCGAGGCATATTCGTAATACTTGAAGAATGCTTAGATTACTCAACGCAACGGGAAGACACCTGTGTTACCCGTGTCTTAAGGTGCAGGCTGCAGCTTGACGATACGCATGGCCTGAACAAGCTAGTTTACGATACGCTGCTATTATTTCTCGATCGGCCATTACCCAGTGTCGCCAGGGCGGGTTTGAGCTATTCATAAATGACAAGGCGTACATTAGCTATTGGGAAATATAGCAGCGACTAGGTAGGCGGTGTTTCCTACCTAGTGCAATCTAACGAAGTACGAGTGTTTGAGATAATTCGAAATTACGTCTCGGTGAAATAAAAGCTAAACCTCTAACTATGAACGTCACGGGTCACTGGTTCAAGTCCTATGAACGATACTTGCTATATCACAAGAATGATTAAATAGAAAGACAGATTTCGCATCATATAATTAAGCAGCCAGAAGCGTTTAGGATCTATCGCTACGCACAGGGGGTTTCGACTGCTTATATTATGATATATACAAAAATAAATTAACATTATTATTAATAAAAATATTATTATTTATATACATTGCAAAATATTACTGCAAATGGACAATCACAGTGGTAACTGCAAGTAACGGCTTCAATGGCCTACCCAGCCGTGATAACAACCCAAACAAACAACAGATATCTGTTGGCCAAAGCCCGTCAACGAGACGTGAATAGTTCAAAATCCGTAAAAAAAAAAAAAACCTAACAAATTGGGGCGTAGATACACAGCTGGCTCCTTGATGGAAGGAGCCAGCCGTGTAACTTGTATGACACGAAAAGCCATTCCTGCTCTCCGCCCGGGGTTTCTTTTGCTATCGTCGTACGTGCACAGTTCATTTCTGCGATGTATTCTAATTGTACCTACAGATAACGGAAGGTGCGGTAGATATTATGATGAAGTTTACGCTGTCGGCTTTATGGAATCTGACTGATGAATCTCCGAAGACCTGTTCCGTGTTTCTTTCGCTAGGCGGAATGGATCTGTTCATGAAAGTGCTCGCCAAGTTCCATGGTAAGTAGAACTTCTTTACTGCTCAAATGACCTAGTATCTCTCTTAACAACTCTTAAACAGATTAGATTGGCACACCTTGATAATTTCAGTGTTCGTGTCTCGTTCAAGTAACTTGTTTTACATTTCCAGTGTTTGAAGACGCACGAGTAAAAATGTGTGTAATCGACTGATTAATACACACTTCTGCCCGATCCCATTACCACTGTTCTTTGTGACTTTATTATTTCGTCATTGCTACGACATGCTATGTATATGTATATATAGAAGAAGTCATTTACAATACTCTCTATTTACATCAGCAGCGTTCACATAAAAAGTTGCTCTTATTCCTTTTTTTCAACGCATTGCCTTATTTGCCTCTTGACATACTGGCCCCAGTCATTAGTACATGTACTAAATCGACCGAAATACGGGCTCTTATGGCCTGTATCACTGACACATATCTCATAGATGCCGTCGAGCACTGTAGCTCTATGGCGCACATACGTCAGCCAAGCAATGCAAACAGCGCAAGTATAAACAGTCGTTATATTCCGGCGCTTACTTATTATAGCATACTGTTGCATCGCTCACCCTGCAGCACTTCCCTGCTGGTCACTTCGATGTTTCCAACGAGCACAGTGAAAAAAAAAAAAAAAGACGACGCGCGCTTAATGATGTCTCCTATGTAACGGATGACTCTTGGTCGCAGGGGCACCAAATTGATTAAGATATAGCCGCGCAACGGCTCGCAAAAACGGCCAGCAATCAGACATCAGAAACGTTTGGCTTGCGCGGATCATTCAGAAAATGATCGCGCAACACCGCGTTCTGTACATAAGTACACTGAATGAAATTGCGATTGCTGCAGTTCCTGTGTCCGGCCTATGTCAGTGCACAGGCTTCTTTCCATCATCAGGTAATCGCCCCAATGCATGCCGATACAATTACGTTGTCTACCAGCTCTGTACATGAGCTGTCACCTGAACAAGGACCCAATCTCGACCAATGTCGGCATTTTTTAATTGTACCTTGCTCATAGCAAGCTATGCCGTCGTGATCACCAAAGACACTTGCAGACTATAGGGCAGCACCGTCAACAAAGCGAACATTGTTTGTATGATGGGGTTTAGAGATAGATGAATGAGTCGCACCGCTGTTTATGACAACGTGGAGAGAGATATTAGCGTTGATCACTGGACGTCTCGTCGAAGTTTAGATGCAAAATAGAAGCACTTATATGACGCGTAATGTAACCCTCTTTACTAAGAATATTGGCGTGTTTGCCAAGTCAACGATACGATACAATCGGAGCGTTTGTGTAGTCGTGCAGAACGTTAAAATTCTGTAAGCAACTTGGAAATCGACGACCGCTAAAAGTCGACTGGCGTTTTGACTATCTACTGGCTAGTGACTCTCGCTAGTACACCTTATACTAGTACTTGGTTTTCTGCACATCTGCAGAAGCTAAATGCTAGATACAATAGATATCAATATACAAACGCAGATACTCGATAACTAAGAAGTGCATAAGAGAACACTTCATTTTGGAAAGTTTCAGCGAATATCTGATGAAGTAACGCATTAACATATTATCATTATATGCTATATTAATAATGTGTATAATAAAGGTTTAATTAGCAAAAATTTTATTTAAAGAAATTGCCATTTTTGTATCTAGCTATCTATATTAAACCAATCTAGCCCTCTGCTGAAGTCAACTATTCTACGTCTATTTGTAAATCAGTACTTACTTTACCTAACTAACACTGTTTATCTAAAGTCTAACTGGTCTGATCACCGTTGGTTGGTTGGTTGGTTGGTTGGTTGGTTCGATATGAATTTTAGACGACGGTTCGGTGGAAACCAAAGTTTTGGGACTTCTGAATAATATTGCGGAAGTGGCAGCGCTTCGTGGCGACCTCATGAAGGACGAGTTCCTCTTCGTGCTCAGACAACTTCTTCATTCGCAGCATATCGATGTGTCGTACTTCGCCGCCGGGATTGTAGCTCATCTGGCCAGCGACGGAGAGCAGGCATGGCGATTCAACACCTGCTCTTACCTTGATATGGTTCATGAACTGGTACGCATCAAGCAGACGGATTATAGATGATTTGTATCAACATTGCATAATCAGCTGTTGCCAGTTGGATAGACTACGGATTACATGTTTTCTGCTCTACAACGTATCATTGTGACAATAGTTACCCGTCGTAGGCATCACTTTTATTGCCCATACACATATGTATGATAGATCTTGTATTTACTTTAGTTAACGTAATTATATAAAAACTATAGAATAAACGTAAATGTTAAATTAAGCTAAGGAGACGAAAAGAGTTCAGGCTGACTTCGATGAGATATTACTATAACAGAGAGAGTAGAAAAATGAAAACGTCCGTTTTTAGGTAGATCATATGAATCATTTGTTTTAAAAAAAATAGTTTATTTCTGATATTAGAACTAAAACTGCTTACAGACTTCAATTTTTTTCATACATTTATCTACAGAATTTTTGTTAAGCGTTGCTACTATCCAAATCATCTAAGCATAACATTATCTAATGTGTTCTATAAACAGTATTTCATGTCTAATCATGTTTTGTACATTGTATTTTGATAACGGTATATATGGGCAGTGTTTTCTGACAATTTAACATTCTGTGAACGGACATAAAATATAGACCCAGAAGCTGTAAAATGACCTTTCGCCCCATCCTTAGTGTATATCTATATAATATATTCGCACATACTAGGCTAGTTGTATGCATATAGTCGAAACATTAATCAGGCAAGTCAACGAATATCGTTTGTTAATACATTTAATTTTCCCTTTTATGTTCAGGGCGAAGCAGTGCTTAGCTGGAAAAGTCCTGAAACGGAAATGGTTGCCTACCGATCGTTCAACCCATTTTTCCCCCTACTCGAAGCACACATTTCACCTCAAGTCCAACTCTGGGCCGTTTGGGCAATTCATCACGTCTGTTCTAAAAACCGTAAGATGCCCCTCTGATTTGTCTAATTTTTGGTAACTGCTTATAGACTTACCCAATAAGTACCAAACTACATAGATGGTAATAGATTGACTGTACTTACAAGCGCGATTTTGTATTAGAAATACTCGTTAAGGATATGCGGAATATTTTTAGGCATAATCATGATGATAATGTGTTGTCACTGTCCTTCAATATCTTATGTGGTTATCGTGCTTTATAGTGCTGGCATGTATTTGTTAATATTTATTCTGTCTTTTGTTTACTTCTAATTGTAGCGAAACGTTATTGTGCAATGTTAATCGAGGAACAAGGAATCGGTCTTCTGGAGAGGCTCCTTCTGAGCTCGCAAGACGGCACCGTGCGTGGCATATGCTCACAGATCCTCGCCATCGTCGAGCAGGATGCCGCAGCCAATTGTCACGATAAGCAGCAACAGCAACAGCAGCAGGTGATCGTCTAGAGAGCAGACGACTTAGCAGACGACAAGTACGCTAGGCGCTAATCAACTACTACTACTACAACGTCAACTATAATAACGGCGGAACGATAATAACCGCGATATCACGTCAACATGCACGACATATACCGAGAATGGCTGTATAGAACTTCGTTACTGAGCCCCAGTGGATCTAATTAAACGTTACGCGTCTACTATAACTTTAGCCCGCCCTTACTGCCGCTTCAACCGTATTGGTTGCCATGGTACCATCAGATTGTCAGAACGTTGGCAGGGGTCATTTAGGTGTCTTTGACAGATTGGCGACAAGAGACATGTGTTTATGTAGATAGCGAGTATGAATGCGGGTAATAACTTCCGACAATTTCCCGTCCTTAGCAGTCGCTCAGTGAAGTGTGATCCGCCTGTTGGGTCTGGACGAGGCCGACTCGAGAAGTTAGGATTTGGCTTAGGGGGAAACGCACACATTTATTAGACTACCAAATACACCAAAACTATCCTAACAATCAAATAACACCTTAAATGGGCCTCAAACGCAGCCCACAATTGGGAACCATAGTTGCCCAATATTACTTTAATGTGTGCACGGGATTTTGACGTCTTCTTTATCGTCCGGGTGGGCTTCTGGCTAGAAGGACACCATCTGTACCCGAAGGATCCATATAGCATATAGTCATTACGGGACTCGAGGATTACTTTATTTTAAAGTGGAAAAGCAATACATCATCCAGATATACGATGAGTGTTTCTTAAAATCTGTACGACGAGGCTCATACCATTTTGTACACATTAGTATCAGTGTCTTGCGACGAAGCGTCTTGATGGTTGGCCTTCTGAACGCGTCCTTGTCCTACTCCGTCATGGCAACGTAGTAGTAAATATGGAAGAAGATAAGGCAGCCCTTAGGGTTAGTCGTACATTGGGCTGGTAACTGATGATCATAAGTGACCAACTTCTGCTACCCATCTGTGTAGGGTCAAGATCTTGTTTCTACTAAGTAACGACGACGAGATTAACCACGAACCATCGCGATGGAGCTCCACTATTTTATTATAGATAGAATCGAACAACAACAAACAAAGTCGATGATGGTATAGGTGGCACAAGTCGGGCAAACTGTCGCCCACTGGTGCTTTCAATCAGGGACAACACCTAGGTTGTCTGCTGGGCTTGGCGTGCTGAAATGCTGACTCTGTTTGACGTCGCGATAGCGTAGTAATGCAATCAAGGTCGGAAGAACTCAACTCGGTTGACAACAACATGTGCTGAAAACCCTAGACACATGGTGAGAGATCCCAAGACGTAGAGGAAGGAACTTCATTAAAGGAACAACGGACAGCGTTCAGATCACAGAGAAAAAGATTTCGGACAAGATTTGCCATATTGATACCTAATATATGCCTAATATAGTAACAGGGATTCTGTGCACGGGGAAGCCAGTAATAACAAACGTAGTTTCATCGTACGTACCACCAAACGCCGATTAGACTCTCACATTCAGTCTTATATTTCGGTCCCTATGTTACAATAACGTCTGCAGACACTAACAAAGACAACAACAAATAAACAAGCAGCAATAACCAGCAAACAGCAACAACAACCTCTGTGAATGTAACTTGGACCTGTTAGTCGACTATTAATAGAATTGGAAACTCGCCTGTGTATAGTGTAAGAAAAAGTGACAGTAAAAAGCTGAGTCTATGCGTATGCGTGTGTGTACTAGAAGACTCTCCGTGTGAATTCCCACAGTATATCTATATATGGTTGCAACAACGATTCTATCCGGAAAGATACGCCGGACGACAAAAGAAGGACGTTATGTACAACGTAGTAGACTATCCACGCACGACAGAAGATAGCAAAAATGTCAGTCTTTCCTCACACTGAAGTGTGCAGGTAACGCATTATATTGGAGTTTGTTGACTCTCGAATGAAGGGGAGCTCTCCACAGACGTAAAAATAATCGAGAAAAACGACTGAATGTAATTTTGTTCGAACAGTGCCCGAATGTCTCGAGTACGAGGCAATTATTATGTCTATTGATTGTCGCAATATATTAATGACAATAATTACGTAATGTATAGAGATAACCCATATATATATATATATATATATATGGGTTATCGCGAAATATTATGAGAAGCATAGTCAATAATATTACACGTTTGCGAACTCGGAAGAAAACGCCGTGGGGTATGTAAAATGGATGTTATTGTATGTTAAATGTTGTCTTCGAAGTAGAATTGTAGCAGCAGAGCTTACTAAACAGGTCGGACGCAAACAGCCAATATCCCCAGTATCGATTGACACACATTTATATACAAATAGGCGTGTGCATGTGTTCGGGGAGACTGGCGCCCACTCTCTGACACAAGCGAAAAGTTCGCGCTCGAATGAGTGCAATAAAAGTTGCTTCAGTGAATCTAAATGAATCCGAAATTTAGAAAACCGGTTGTATGGTGATAGAGACTTGTGATATTCTTTGTCCAATATAGAAATCTAGCGAACATAGCAGACGACTGACTAGGTCAATAATATCCTTATTGGCCGAAATCATAAATACTATATATACACATTAGCACTATTTATTATACCATTTTATTGAAATTGTGTAATTGAGCTGTGGTAACACTAGTAGTTAGTTAGTTAGTTATTATTATGATAATTATTGTCATTCAATTATTCAGTTGCTAATCAGCTGGATAGAAGCATAATAAACGGATACGACTTTAAATGATACGAACCAATGCTGCGTCGCCGACAATTAAGCCATAAATTCATTTTTACTGCTAATTATTGAGCCCTTATACTGTGTCGACTAACTTTTGAATAACATAGATGATATTATCGCAATATGATATTTGTTAGTAGTTAATATGATTATAATTGCTATAGCAAAAAAAAACACACACACACACATTTCTTTTTATGATTATAGTCATCATCATCAGATTATTATTTTTATTACTGTTGAGCGAATTGACTAGTTCGGACGCAAGGGAACTTCGCCTCAGCGCCCACGAAGTTTTTTTCGCAAAAACGACCCGTAATGGCATTGATAGGGGTACGTCAAATAAGACCCGAGCCCCCCTGTTTTGGCGGACGCGTATATATTTTGTTTCAAAGCATCCATTCATCCATTAATGATGTGTTGATCTTTGCTGTATGGTGAGCCTTAATTGCTAGAAGCAGATTATTATTACCACTTTGCTATTATAACTATCGTCATAACTATTACGATGATGACATGTGATTATGATGAAATGTTGATATTAGGAAGTGCATGTTGTTGACGACCTGATAACAATGACAATGAATACACTATTGATAATAATTATGATTGTAATAACAACCGAAGCGAAGATACTTTTACTTGAGTGTGCGTGTGGTAAACATGATATATATATATCGTGTGCCTGTTTCATTATGTAAATGTGTCGTGTGTATTTGGCGCACATGTGGTGCGGCGGATGCAATTGTGAAAGCGACAAGCTTGATACACGGGTAAAAATGGAAGAAGAGATATATATCAATCTACACTCAGATATATATATATATTGCTAAGTGTTCAGTTGGCTAGAGAAAATCAGAAACAGGGGAGCAAGCTTGAGTGCTAGCCCGATACCCGCACAATGCAGCAGGAAAAACAACTCATAGCAGTAAAATTTGTCTGATTATAACGGACGCACAGACACGATCACGCAGAGTCGTAGTATTCAGGTCTATGACTAATTACAAAAATATTTTCATTAAACTATAATAAAAATGGTACGAACTCACGCTTCTCAAGCACGCCCAATGTAGCATTATTGACGGCGCAGCGAAAAATGGTGGCTCGGTTGAAACAAGCCACTTCGTAACGTTGATAAATCAAATGCTGTGTTTGTGTGTGTATATATTGTTGTAAGTTTAGGAAAAAGAAACTAGCAAGATCACTATGACGACCGCGCATATATGTAGAGGAGCAGGGTGAACGCAGCGAAATGTTGATGGATTTAGTATAATATCGACTCGTTAAAGGGAAGATGTCAGGTTATCATGTTGCTTAAATCAGTAACGTAGTACAGAGTATCAGTTAAGTGAAACAACAGCGAGAGCATTAGATAGCAACAAAAACAACGCCAATAATACAAAAAAAAAAATATAGAACAAACCAGTAAACATAACAGGCCATACTTCTCAAAGAATCGTCTCCTTATACACGTTCTCAATCGAGTGGGTCATAGTTTGACGCGGAGACGAAAATCGAATCGGATAACTGCTTTGAGCTCAAGTGATTTAACTTGTGACATCCTGACTGACTCGTTGCTTTGTCCTTTATTCACCTGAAGCAATTGATTATCGTTCGTTCATGCAGGCAGATATATAAACACCTCAGACACGCTCTCACGTTTTCAGAAAAAGAAACGCTGTTCTAGTCGTCGGCGTGCCGCAAGCCTCATGGTCGCGTATGGATATCTATATAAACAGACCACGACAACAGCAGCACGCCACCTGTTGTTGGAACACACCTGTTAATCATTGATGTAGAGTACTCGTTGTCGGCTTATGTTATATAAATATTATTTAATTATTTTTACGATTAATTACACGTTTAGTTTTTTATCGTTGTTGGTTGCAGTGACTAGTACGCCGTTGTGATGCGTCTTTGTACTCACTGTGACAGTTCGGAGGCGAACTTAGAAAGCGTTATGATACTCGTCTCGAATAGAGTTTTGTAAATAGATCTTAACAACAGCTATTCATGGAGACCCCCCAAAAAACTGAAAAAGACTTGAATCCGTTTGTGAGAACGCCAATAGGTAATTTTTGTCGATTTGTCGGGTCTAATGGACAATTTTTACTGGAATTCAGGTAATACTAATTAATTGATAATCAACAGAGCCGCGTCTTGCGTAACAAACGTTTTTTAATATACGAGTATATAAATGAGGCAGAAATATATAGTAACAGCTTTCGGTTAAGATTAAATCTTGGGTGTGTCTCCATCGAAAAATCGAGTCGGTGGTCGGCAAAGGAACGATAATGCCAGGTAAAAACTACCAAAGTGATCATATCTCTACCGTTGAATTATGTCCTCCATTTACAATTACAAGTTGACCAATACTGCCAGTGTCATAACTGTTGTCAACTATTACGTGTATCAGTTCTGCATCAATATAGGTTACTACTGGGTAATTGATGGCTGTCGACAAAAAGAATAGAGCATTGTTCTTTGCAATACTGCCGTTCGGTTAGTGAGTCCGGACGAAGCTGGGGGTGGTAGCGGCCCTCACGTCAATGGGCATCATTCGGGTGAATTAGAAAAATGAGTGATAGTTGGACTAACTAACAGGAGAACAGTTTCAGCGAAGAGACGAGCTTAGCTTAGCCCGCAATGCTCAAACTCGCTCTAGTGCCCTGTTGGCTCTTACAATGAGTGTACTACGTTCTGGTAAAACTGTACAAATATCATAGTTGCTTACCGAACCAAAACAGGATTGTTGTTAATATTAATGAGTCACTTGTACTTAATGGCAACATTCAAGCAAACGGCTATTTGTACAGTTGGCAGCACTCATCAATCAATTAATAATCACATTGGCCATAATTGGTATTGCAATAGCTGCAATTCTGCTGCCAGAGTCAGTTGGCCCTAGCGTTTGCGTTAACAACGATTTTGTTCTATGCGATTATACGTCTGTGTGAGAATAGTTCCTAAACGATGCGACCGCACTGATTTTAACTGCTCATTTACTGTAGTTAGAGAACGGCGGAACGTGACGACGCATCGATCAATAGTTCTTTTCCCGCGTATTTTTCTTTTCCCCCCCAACTACCATCACAATTTCGCCCGTAACGTTATGTACGTAACGTTGACGTCTGCCACTCTGGAACAACTATAGACAATCGCAAACGAACTCGAACAGCAGGAGACACTTGGCCTGGACACACGCGTAAGTTCGGCGCCGTCTTCAAATAGATGTCTACTGGAGTGATTCTGCGTTCCGGCTATTCGTAACTAATGGAAATTAGGTTAGTTCCACTCTGGCAAAAGGACGACGGCTTGAAGGCTCGAGGTTTGTTTGAAGTTCTTCGATGAGCCCCATCTTCCTCTTCGGCCACTATGGATGACGGCCATATGTTACCATCGCCGAATGGCATCTCTTTCTTTGAGAAATCGCTACCTAGCTATCTTCTTCTACCGGTAGTTGCTGTTAGCAAAGATGAAACGTTCTGCTTAACTAAAATTATTAGACGGAAAAAAAAAGTGAAAAGCGTGATGACGCCTGAAAAAGAAACGACATTTTCAATTAATGCATGTCCTCCTGCGACACAAAACCTAGATGTGATAAGTGAAAATGTGTAGGCGTGTATTTTCGTATGATATGCTTATATAGAAATGGAAGAATAGCCAGGTTTCCTTTGTCCCATTTCTTGTCCTCGTCGGACTTGCTTAGTGATTGACCGAAGAACCACTGATTGATCGCTGATATTCATGATCACAGAAGGCAGGTCGACCTGTGGGTCTATCGGTCACTAGGCATTTTTGACAACGAAATCTATTCAGTTGTCTATTATTTGTTCGTTGTGATTAATGATCGATCTGGTGGTAGTTGTCATGGAACAACAAACAGCGTCTCATCGTCAAACGTCGCTGGCCCAATTGGAGGCTCTGGCCGAACCGGGTGACAACCCAATACGATGGCCATGTATGTTATAAATCAACAATAATTATTATTGACGTCACACTACTATACTGCTGCAGTTATAACTAAGAGTATACTTGTAGTACAGTTGAAGCTACAAATAAATGATTGATTAGTTTTTTTTCTTATAATGTAACGATTACGATGAAAAGTTGAATATTAAGAATAATTGGCGTGGTTTGTTAACAAAGAGAGACTTTATGATTGAAACCACCTTGATGTAATGGCACAAGTGATCATGACAACAGCTGAATTCACACAAAAAAAAAATATCAGCTATAGTAGATCAACACGACTTAATCGAAGCAGACTGTCAATAGATTGACCTTGCTGTTGGCAAACATTTTGCTGTGCTTACAGAGTTAGTTGGAACGTTCCTGAGGGCTCTGCGATACACACACACACACACACACACACACATACGTAGAAGGGCAGAAACTACCATAGGCCTGTTCAAAGTCAATCCATCAGTAGAGTCTGGCCATTTTGAAAAAACTTACACATAAATGACATATGTCCATAGTTAGCTCCGCTACACAAAAGCGAATAGCAACAACGACAGCGAGACAAACTATTCAGCTATTATTTGGAAAACTGGTGATATTGCTGTGAAGCTTATTACGATTATTATTATTATAGTCAATCCTTATGAATGGGGAAGCGTGAAGTGGACCTGCCCAGGCCATTCGTGGTGGTTAAGGTCGAAATTGAAAACTACCAATGGTTAATTGCCTAGTTATCTAGAAGCTGGTCATAGTTAGGATACAAATAATGGCTGTTTCGTTTGGGTCGGATGGGCCATTATTGCAATTAATTACACAAGAGCATAAACGTCAGCGCGGGCAAGCAAGCAAGCGCTGTTTGCAACAGCAGCTACGGGGGTTTCCATGGGCTGGTGGAAATTCAGCTGCGGCGGAAAGCATCAACATAAATGGAGAACGCACCAAAAATAGAATCGCTCTTCTTGCTTCACCAAGGAAAGAAAAAATCTCTCGCTCTAATCTAGCTGCTACCCTCCGAACCGTTGCACTGCACTACGAGAAAGCCACTCTAATACTTGTAAATTTGAACATATATTGCGTATTGAAAAATATTAATGAAACCATAACAACTAAGAATGATGATGATGATGATGATGATGAATAAACCTTACCCACGGATAGGTTGCAGGAGATGTGTTTTGTTTGTTTCCTTTAATAAGAGAAAATCGAGTAGCCGTTTTGCTAGTGGGCAGTGTGTGCGTATTACCAAAAATAGCTAAAGAAACCCCTTTATGTTCTGCAAAGTTTTCGTCTACCTATCGCCTAAATATGCAGTCAGGCCACCTTTAAGGTCCTATAGTTATGGTGTAATAGGCCTGTGCGGTTGCTTTTCCTTCTCTAAGGATTTATGGAAACTGGAGCGCCCCGACGGCTACTCACTAACCACCCTATGATTGCGTATTAGCTAAAAGTGATCGTACGTCGGGCATTAGCCTTTATTATAGCTAGAAACTCTGAAGAGAGCAAACGCCGATTTGAATTACCATTAATTTTTCGCTGGCAGAACATGGCATTCGCCCATGCATAGTATATTGACAATTTTTGGTGATCGCATGGCACGTCTATAGATCAAGGGTAACAAAATAGATTAAATGATAAGGTAATGTAGAATATAAAATATAAAAAAGAGATTTTTATGATGCCTCTACGTGAAAGGAGAGGATTAATACGTATTTGAAACTTGTGTTAGCACTAAATGTTAATTTTATCGTATTGTCTAAATGTTGTCATGGGCGTGGATTACAATTTGCGGGAAGTTCTTTATATAAGTAAGTGAAATAACAAATCATTAATTTTTTTCAAATAATTTTTTAATTAAAAGATTTCAGGGATAGTGTCGTTTAAAATAACGTTTAATTGTGCAAAGTACGGCTGCGCGTTCCGCACTGGTATTTTTAGTTACACTAGACTAACTATGCTTAATTATTATTCGTTATCGTTTTATGTAAAACAACCTCATAAAATAAAACTACATTTGTAAAGTAATTGCTCTTTTATCTTTAATATTAATTCTCTGTCTTTCCAAAACTACCTGAGAGAAACACCATATGTTGTTGCTTAGTCCATTCATAAAAAAAGTTCTAAAATTTATAATACATTTTCGTACAGTTTAACTGCACAGGAGTAAGTAGATTGTCTGTTATTAGTAAGAAACATAGCTCGAACGGTCAATTTAGCTCCTTTCCAGTTGCTCAGGAAATATAAACTCACCTTTATATATATATATATATATATATATAACACATCCTTTTAACACCAGTAAACAAGCAATAATCTATGCTAAATAAAAAGTGTGCATACTTAGTTCTGTTCATTTGTTCATTTTTCACCTAACTCAAGACCTAACTTCTCAGTTAATTATAGAATGTTTCTTAAACTATTGAAAACGTGCAAAGAGTTTAAAAACTGAACAATCCGTGGCATTGAAACATGTTCAGCCCCCCGTAAAATTGCATAATTTTCTTAAGGTTTCGCTTGGTGTAGTAATAATAGCGAACTTCGCAGGAACTCTATTCAGTATTATAGAATTGTATGACTTCCTTAACGTCCTGTTTATTCTTGACCATCGCGAGTTCTGCCATGCTCCTGCAGTCAGTCGAATTGGTTCACTACAGAGTACTGCTAGTAGTAGATAATCCGATTGCACTAAAAAACTTTTCAGTATTCAAGAACAACCGAGATTTTATTATATTAGCAAATTAAAACCGTTCGTATATGTTACAGAGAACTCTATATTAATAACTGTCTAATAATAATAGGTTTCTCCGTCTTTTAACGTACAATTTTTCAAAAGTGTGCGATAGATGTCCTTTGGGCTTCTCTTTTACTTAGAAGTGTTCAACTCTCAGCAGGAAGCCGGGTGTCTGTATCGCAGAGGGACTCCATGTCCAGATAATGGTTGTTTTTAAAATGCAGTTTCGAGCTTGAATAAAATGCTTAATTTTTCCTCGTAGAATTTACCAGTAAGGATTTTTTTGCGACCGGTTTTTAGTATCTAGATTAGATCCTGAATCAGATCCAGTTGCACTGTATAACTGAGTACATGATCCTTTAAGATTTGATGTTATTAGCTTTTATTTGATATGTTTAGGAAGCCCATTAATTAAGTCTTTCACGACACCTTTCACAACACCGATATCTATATTGAAAACAGTACATGTAGTATGGTAACATAGCATTAATTCACGGGAGAACATTACGGACCACGCGGCACGCCCTATTAAACAAATTCGTCTTAGGGGATATTTGCGGCATCGGCTTTTGCTATCTAGACAAACCCGATCAGACCACTCTCGTCCTTCGGCACAATATCGGCTGATCGATCATCTCAAGTATTTCTGAGCGACCAACTGGTCCATTTAGTTCCTGCGAACGCGTTAGAAGGAACCTCACGTTTCGCCTTCTCAAGCCGCTTCTAACATCTGTGTCTGCGAAATTAATGGTTTTTTGAGACCGAAGTCGAGCTCGGACGAGTCCCTCGCCAACAGTAAGCTGTGAACAGATTGCGCGTTGCACGGGAGAAGTGTAAGCGACGATTGCTATTCTAGTTCTATGCTTCAGTATTGTAATTTAGTTAGTGACTGGTACTTTAATTTAGCTCCCTTTAATTTTGATCAATGATTTTATTGGTGCTATCATTTGACACAAGATCTAAGCAAATACCCATGGGTACAGCCAGACATTTTCTGGCTGTGGACGGGAAAACACTGGCCTGATAGTGCCACTTGGATGCTTACTTTGCCAATACGCTATTCCCATTCCAACTCAGTTTTTCCCCTTAGGCAACGTTGACTAATCTTTTAGGCGCTATCATTTGACACAGTTAGTATATTCAATAGGCTACGGTATCGGTAGTTGTTTTTCTAGGTCAGACAGCCTTACATCAAAAATCAATATGCAATAATTTGATGCCTTGAACGCGCGGAAACTACTCGCCGAAACAAAAAGTCTCGGCAAACTATAGAGATTTGCTAGGTTTATCAAGCCATGTGCGCGTATACATAAGTTTTTTTTCTACTCCTTTCCTATGAGTACTCCATAATGTTCGGATCGACCCGATGGTAAACTGGGTGTTTTAGCGCGAAAAGATCCGGAAAGCGATATCCGAGAACGTAACAAAACTTATGAAGGCATTTAGGGGGGAAAAAATGTTTACAAGGCTCAGATAAGTCTATCTAATAAAGTATCTGTGGAATAAAGAAGCGGGCTCCTTTAAAGTCGCAATAATATTCACACAAGTAGAATCAGGAGAAGAGGAACGTGTGAATCCAGCAAATACTGCTGAACTTAGAAAGAGCTGACCAAAAACTCTTATGCTATCAGTGGTAAACACTCAGACTTGAGGCTCGATGTCTGTAAAGACGACTTCACCATTTAAAAAAATTTATAAACAATGAAGGCACTTCTCGTGGACACAAGACGCTCTGCGATGTAAGATATCTTGCAGCTGTGATTGTGCGTTGTTACACTCAGTCTACGAATGTAACGCATCTAAGATCGACTTATTAGTAGAGATTTTAGAAAAATTAGATTAGCTCTATTTTGTATCCGTCATATAGAAGAACTATTAGTTTGACACTTTCTTGATTATATGAAGCAATTTACAAAAACTTCGCTTTATACCCAATACGGCTTTGGCCCCTAATTTTAAGTTGTTCCCGCTGGAAGAATCCTTGCTGGGTACAATACATGTGAGTCACCGTTTTCAGGGTAGTCACCTCCATCACGCAACCGTTCATAAAACTCGTGCACCTAGCTTTGCCCCATAGCCTACTTGTCAAAAGTTTCCCGCACGTTTTTTCGTACTCGTATTTTTTTCAAGAAACCGAAACAGCGCGAAGGGTCCTTATGGACTTCGCAGTGCCTGCCAAGCTGGCAAAAATCGGACATTTTATCGATAGTTCAACAGACACAATATTGACATCACCATAAAGGAAAAACTTGCTATTTTCAATACTGCCCGAGTGAATTTCGATCCTGTTGCATGGAAGCCCTTTAGTGGATCTGTTCTCTAGAAAGGATGGAACTTGAATTGCAGTTAAAGCTACTACAACACATTATTTTTGTGAGCGATGAAGAACAACAATCTCATAAATTTCGCAAAAAATCACTTTTTAATCGTACATTCCTGCAATGGGCCTCTTTGTTTCCGTCTCTTATGGAAGCAGTAAACCTGATGTAAAAATACCGCTACTCTCAACTCAAACAACAACGTCATATTGAGAAAAATGCCTTTATTTGAAGTCATACGCGGCAAACACTGTTTTGGGTCGAAGACATGTGTGTACGTAAAATGTATGATTTCATAGTTATTAGATATTAATGTTTATTATTGTCATGTTTTTCAGCAAGTCAACTAAACAGATAAAATCCGAAGGAACGCAAATCCATCGGTTGTCGGTTCCAGGATGACGCACGCTACGCTACGCCATTAAGCACGGCTTTTAAACATCCTTTGAGACCGCTAAACCACTTTCAAAAAATCAATAAATATTGCGCAACTCCTAGGCCTCTTACAAATCAAACACGGTTGAGGCCATTCACGGGCTAATTAAAGTTAGTTGTCATCCTATCTTTGCTTTTTGCATTCATTTAAATTCACCTCCTCCTAATATCATTTGTGTCACCTTAGTTCACTGATCCTGCTCAAACATCGTCCGCATAACTTGCCCTATATTTAGCTCTGAATCGTTTAGAGTGCCTTCATAATCCGCCTTTGCCGTGTGACTCTCGGATGCCCCCTTACTTGCTGAACTGACCTTCGCAGCTGCATCCACTTCCAAGGACGTCGTTGGCGATAACGAACAATCAATCGAACACTCTTCTTCTTTATCCAAGCACCGACTACCTCCAGGGGTGGATAAAACTTGTTGTTGTTTAAATGCAGTATTTTGAAGTGATTTTCGACGCAAGACGACGTTTAGTTCATTAGGGGCTGCCGTTAGAGCCGTCTCCGTTTTAGCTGCTTTCTGATTATTACTAGCGTCACCGGACCGTCGGATGATTTTGATTACTTTCCGCACCATCTTGGGCCGACAATCATCTGCATTAAAAACTACACCTTCGCGGTTCTCTGTTGGCGTTTCGATATAGAGCGCAGTCGCGTTTTTAAGTGCTGAGCGAGGTACATGCAGCTTCAGTGGCCTTGCGCCTCCACCTATCACAGATGACGCCGGTATGAAGATCTTCTTTGTAGCCGTTGACGCCGATAAAGACATAGACGACGCAGAGCTTGTCACGGATTCCGTCGACGGCTGTATGAGAATCTTCGATCTTTGACGCATCGAGGACGTGGATGCTGGGATATAGATCTTCTCTGAGGCACACGCTGATGCCAGAGCAAATCCGGAACATGATTCTGAAGCAACCGAGGTAGGCGTGGATGCGCTCGATGTTCCTGGCCAGATATTCCTTGCATTAGCTACGTTCCACTGGACATTTTTCTCAGTTTTAGCAGTTTGATGGATATAAGGTTCAGATGAAATTGATGGTGTCGATGGCTTGGGCGTGGCGATGCTCCAGGAGATCGTTTTTTTCTTGAGGGTCGGAGCTGCTGTTATGGCAAAGCTGTTCTTGGGTACTGTCATAGTACTTGACCTCGTTCGATGTGCAATTCTAACTTCGGACCTCTTCTGGCCGTCCAAGGGCCATACTGCAGTTTTACTATGTTGTTTTTCTTCGAAACGCTTCTCATTATTAGAGGCTGCTGAGACTTTTCCAGTGAATGGTGCCCGTGATAATGGTTCTGGCGGATTTTTCTCCACCGTTTTACCTACAGGAGCTCCTATCATATAAGTATTTGTTGTTGGCGCTGTGATCTTCTGAACGTCGCTGTGGACGTTGCTGTCGAATCGAGAAATTTTATTAGGTGGCGCAGCCAAGGCATTATCATCTTCACTGGTTATCACTTTAATTTTTACCTTCACATTTGAATGGGGATCATGATTTAACTCTTCTGTCTCAGTAACCTCCGTTTTTATCTCCGCCTTGGGAGAAAGAACCATATCGGTTTCAACTATATCTTTTCCAAGTCCATCGCATTCGTTTTTGTCGCGAGAATGACGAGCTGACCCATTTTGAGCCGCTTTGCTGCCGCTTACTCCAACAACAGAGGCCGTAACCGTGGGTCCCAGCTTAACTGATGCGGTGATATCAATTTCGTCGCGAACTTTTGGGTTGAAGTTGGCACTAACTACTTCTGCACGCACGGTGGGCCCTACTTGGCGCTGTACCGATGAAACGAGTGGCGTTCTTCTATACGTGACGTGCCGAATGAGACCGCCGGTAGATAACCGAGATCCTCCTGCTAACAAGTATTTTCGAGCCCGGCCCCTACAAGGAAAATTATCGTATATTTAATACGAAACTTTTCTATGCCATTACTGCTATTTTACACTATATCATTATTAGCAGTATTCTAATCAAATGGCAAGGACAAGAGCAACTAGCCAATGAAAGGTTGTTATGTTATAGCTACGTACTAAACAGAGCGTAACAAGCCCGAATAATAATTATAATGATAGAAATAGTAGTGAATGTTTATGTGTGCAATATATACACTTAATATAATTATCGTTTAGTATGAAACGTAACAGACACTAATTTTACACCTAGGGATGGCGCTATTTTATAACACTGTGACATTTCGTGACACTTTTTTGCATTTGAGATTGCACTTGCACTTTTTTGTTCAGTCGAAATTTTTCACTCCGGCTTTTAGCGGGTGAAAAATTCCGGAACGGAAACTTTAAACTCAAGAAGTAGTCTCATGTAAGGTTCCCTACGAAGGTTAGTAACAAGAAGTTAGGGACTGTGGCAGAAGTTGACCTATCTCAAGTTTGGTGTGTACAGGGGCACCATACTTGCTCACAGCGGCTAAAAAATAAAGGAAACAGATCATACAGATGGGTGCCATGTGATTTGAACGAGGGTCATAAAAAGAGACACAGACGCTTGCTCCTTTTTGCCCTACATGTTACATCCTCGCTATATGTCTATCACTATATTTTGCCGGCTTTCTCCAAGCAGGCAGTTTACTTCGCCGGAAATGCACGATGGCGATACTAGTGGAGGGCTAGGTGGATACTGGATATCTATATTCTTCTAAGCAGCGTAACGGACGAGAAAGAAGAGGGACCATCGTTCGCTTACGGTTCCGCCCCGATTTGGTAAAGCCAAAGCAATTAGATAGGCAATTACAGAAAGAAAAATTTAGCAATACATAGTTTGCTGAGGCTCTTGTTACCGCACGCCTTTTTCAGGCCGATTCGTCTTCTTGCCCCCGCACTTTCAGCCCGTCAGCTGCATGGTGAAAATAGCAGAAGAATAGAAGTGGTGCTGCCAGTCCCTGGAAGTGAAAGCTGGTCATACGGTGAGGCGCGATATAGTCGATATATATGGTTTTGAACCAGCAGGTTCAAAGGGTTCAGCAGGTTAAGAAGAAGGAATTATTTTTTCCTATATATATATATATGGCTGCTTTTCGTCTCCGTCAATATGTTACGGGTGCTGCTGCTACCTGATTTCTATATAGTTCGCCATTGTTCCTCACTCAGTTGTTTCAGGTTGCTCACTGCCAGATTCCACCCATTCGAAGACGACGTCCTTTCTGCAAACTCATCCCACTGGCTCGTAGCATCAGGTAGGTTTTGTTCACTTGCGAAGCGAACTCAGTGATCTGCGCTACCGTTGTCATAGCTACAGTCTCGGTTATCCTATCATCAGATTTGTTACAATAGTTGCCGCGCAGACGCATTTTAGCTCTGATACAGTTCTAAGTGCGGAGTGAGTGTAACACACCCCAGTATCCCACATTTCTACAACAGTAAGATAAGCTACTACTCAAATGGCAGAATGGTGCATATTTCGATTAAAGGTGAAAGAAGTAACAGAGTCCGAAAATTTACTAAATCCCGTTTAATACTGAACCATCTATTATTGTCATATTAAGTGCTTAGTAATAAGATTTAACGTTTAGGCTTAGAACTTTATATTAATTTTTTAACAAAAACTATCACTGCAGAAATTTTATTAATTGGCCCTATTGGAACCAGAGATTCGACTCAGCCGTAAGAACCACTCGCTCGGAAAACATACGTAAATAAATCGGATTTAAATCTCTAATGAAGGTCAATTAATTGGCTTTTAGCCTTACGTATCCTGTACCACCTTTTCGGCAGATGCGTGTAAAAGCTTCGCCGCATCACGTAACGTGGCTGATCTCGCAGTGACAGGATCGTTGCCATCGCTTGGCTGGATGCCTTACGGCTTTGACGAATGTGGCTGCTGTTCTTATCACATTCATCCTTGAGCGTGATATCCGCTACAGTGGCCGGCCTCGCAGCCTAACCAGAAAGTAAATCAATCGAAAGATGAAATAATACATATGTAGTACAATAAAACCTGAATGCTTTAGAGTCGATTGTTTATTTCGTTTCTCTGGCTAAACGGCAAATTCTATATAACTTATCTAGAATAATTGTCAGCTAAACATGTGCACGGTAAGGTTTGCAGGCAAAAAAAACACATTTTACTGGTTCTGAAAGTATCTCGAATAAGTACCAAGCAACTTGAGCATTACTTTCCAGACCCTAAATTCTTGGAAATTTTATAATCCAACGAGGCACCTGCTCCTAAAAAACAGTTGCAACAACAATAAATCCATTAAGTGAAATATGAAAGATCTTAGAAAACAATGTTCCAGTGTCTTCGAAATGTTATACACTTCCTACCTGGTAGACTTCCGTTTCTAAGCCACCATTCATTTTTGATGCTGTTTTGGCGGTGTTTAGTGCGTCTGTTTCTTCTTGGACTACTCTTTTTTCATCTTTTCGCTCCTGTTCAACGCGATTGAGTTGTTCCGAGACATTCGCAAGGACGGTGCGTGCCTCGTCTTCGACACTTTCTCTCACAGGTTCCGAGGATCGTAAAACTTCAATTGCACTTCGGATGTGGTCTTCGAGTCGATCTAACTCGACATGGTGACGGCCCTAAAGAAACGAAATGAAACAGATGACAAAGTAGGACTTTTTATATTGTAAAATAATGGCAAAAATGGTGATCTGATGAGGCAGTCAGTTTGCGCGCAAACAAAAGGCAACATTGGACGAACACACTTGATAGCGTCCAGACGCATTCATAACTAGGTTGTAATAGCACTAACACAAGCAAAAAAAGATTACAAGTTACATTTTGTTTTATTGCGCTAAACAAAAGTTACGCATTTAAATATGCGGACTGAATATTAACCTTAATTAAATGGGCTAACTGGTCGACCAATAAAATTATCTCTTTTAGCTTTTCTTCGTAGTTTAGCCGAGCGAGAACCCAAAGCGCTTCGTCGTAGCCGAGGTTATCGGAAGGGCCTTCCTCGATAAGGCCCGGATCTTCTTTCGGAGCTCCGAGTCTTTGCGCAACGGCGTGAATATGTCGACACATGCGCAGCTCACTTAGAAATTGTTCACACGTACAACCATATCTGCAGTAGAAGCGAGGTGTGAGATAAAGACATACGGCATTAGCAAAACGTACATTACACGAGCAGCGTACGGTCACCAGTTACCTTGATATTAAGCTCCAATTAGTGTTTTTACAACAATACATCGGTCCCAAATGGGAATAAAGACACAAACTTCTCTTCTTGAATTTTATTCGATCCATGAAAAGGGATTTGTTAATGTGATTTGCAGATATCTGGCGGCCCCGTGAAAACGAATACCGCTTATTGCTATTATTTTCGTTATAATTAATTACAAATAAGGAGTTTCGATAATCTTCATCGCCAATATAAAGTGCTGAAGCGCTATTTATTTTTCTTGAAAGGGTCACTTCGAAAGAAAATGTGCTCACCTGTGAACACACACCTCACAGTGAGTACAGCGGTATTCGCAGTAAGTATGTGCCGATCTTCTGGGAAATACAACGGCGATTGTTCGGCCCTCTAGATTGGAGAAAATATATCGCGGGCCAGGTAACTCTTGCCAGGTACCATTATACGGCTAAATATTCAAATAAAATCGGTATACAGTTTTTTTATACCCAGAAACACCACCAAATTATCTCTTACATAACGAGCCGAACGATTGGTTATTAGAGCACTTACAAGGTAAAGTTTATAATGCAAGGCAGGGGAACCGCATTGCAAAAAATCTGTGCAGTCACAATGTAAAGCATAATTTGATTATGGAAAAAGTATATGAATATATATCGAGTGCATATTGAAGTATGTACCGCATTCGAAATCCTAAACAGTCCTACAGAAGTGAAGGCAACACGTAAAAGTATTGAATAAAATTCTTAATGTAATGGTTCTTCCCTAGTGCAGCGTATTCGAAAGCTACAAGCAAAAGCAGATGAGGATTTTTTTATAAAAGTGGCTCAAACAGCATTTGAATTTGATTAAAATTTTGACAAACTATCACATCGTCTGTCTAAAGTTTCCATAGACTTTCCTGCTCCCTTTTTGTTGTAATACAGTCTATAGTGTATTTACCGAAAAGAAAAGAATTAAATATTATCCTCATTAGACATCACATGCTCGACTAGCTCTCAATAATGTAATGTGACTTTAAAGATATTCTGCATCCACTCTCAATAAACCTACAGTATTTTACAGAATACACAAAAAAATGAAAACAAGTGGTTATATTCTTACTTCATGGGCATCTGTGACAACTCTGGTCTCATTATTTGTCCCGTGCTCAAGAATGGCTCGTATTGTCTTCACCAACGTGAGGCGGCGGAATTGGACCCTTCCCATGGTGCCTATTAGCTAAAATATAAGCACATGACATACAACTATCATATATGCAGACGATAAAGCCCTAAGAACGTGACCATAACAGAATTTAACATCTAACTGTTTTCGTTTGGAGTGAGAATATATATACAAGATAAGAGCCTTTAAGTAAATAATGGCAGAAGCAGTCTAGTGTAAGCGCACGAGGCGTTTAATCCCACGCCTGTCTTAAGCTCAATTATTTATCTTGCGTTAAAATAAGTTATCTATTAGATATCTATAATATATTTCCCAACAAAATTAGCTGGTCATTATAAAAATTATAGGAGGACCCTTTAGCCCACGTTGGCCTCTTCGTAAAACTATACGTACCCCCTTTGGCTCGCTATTCGGTAGCCATGCGGGTAGCTTCAGTCTTTTCTTGGCATTTCGTAAGTCCTGATAGTTAAGTAGTTGGTCTCGTTGGATTTCACCTCCGAAGTAATCTTTACAGGCCTCAGCTGCCACTTGGCCGTAAGTCCAATTTTGATCCAGACACTGGCGGATAAAAAGATGTGTTGCTGCAGTACACCTATATGAGGAAAGCGATCACTTTCGATATGTCTTTAAATGGTATCACTACCATGTGCGCCTGTAGCGGTGCCCCTACATCCGCCAAATTGGCTGGGTTTGTTTTTATAGACCCAGTAATAAAACTGCTTTGAACTCCGCTTGTAAAAGGTGCCTTTAACACTCGTCGGTACGCCTATCAATTAATAGAGCTCGAAAAGTAAAGCTTAGGACAAAGCTAATATTTAATCTAAATTATACAAAGATGTACCGTGTCGATTTATTACAAACGAGAGAGCTAACTTTGAAAATCGACTTAGTAGGCTGCAGGCAGATTATTGATATGAACTAACCTGACATCAAGGACGTGTGGTGCGTGTCCAATGTGTGTCCGCCAAAATTTTACGAATACATGACCAGTATCGTTCAAATCAACAATCATTGAAGCCGGACACTCAAAGCCCAATAGACGGGAACGATTTACTGCTACCTTTAGAATTATGTGCGAACAACATTAGAACACTAGACGATTTCGAGACATTTATGCGACGATAATTGTTTTACTTATACTTTTAACAGAAAAGATATATCCCAAAAGACAAATCTCAAAAATACATATTCTAATAAGACATCATTGCGCTACTTCTTGCACAATCGATCTTTAACGCAGATTTTTATTCTTTAATCGACTTCAGTTCACCCAAAAGAGAAATAGCTTATCCGTCTATTTATTTTTTTACCTATCTATTTCACTTGTTTGGTTAACACCCACGCTTTGCAAGAGAACATCTCAACCATCGACGAAAAACCCGGAAGTGTGCATATGTAAATACATGTCGTATAAGCATACGTATTGTTATAAGAGTATTATAATAGGTATTTGCGTTGTTTTTTATTAGTTGGAAATTATACAGCGTACCTCTGGTCGACGCGTGCGTCCCGCTTTGCAGCAAACAAATGTTCCAGCAGGAAGCTTGCTTTTGTGACTCGCTAGACGTAGGAAGCATTTCGCCTCACGCATGGCACGCTCCTTCCATTCCTCGTAATGCGATACTGAGCTAAATTCATGCCTATAGACAGCGAAATCAATAATGGTTGCCGTACCCGTTATTAGGAAACAAGGCCAGACCCGTACAGAGCGTATTAACCGTATTCACGTTAGACATTTACTCAATTAAACAGAATAGAGTCAGACTCGTCTCTTCAACAGCTCGCTTTCAAATGACGATGTTTTCCTTGCAAATTCATTTGCGCCCCATCATGGCTTACTCGGTGCATTCCAGCCTGGTGTCGTGGTCCTCAACGATATGGGTAAGTAAGCGCTGGTGGCTGCCCTGATCCAGTCGACAAAGGGGACAGAGTTTTTCGCGCACTCTCGACGGACAGATCGCTCCTGCAAGGACCCCCTGTACGTGTGCGTGCCTCACATGCTTTTCCATATATGGCACTCGACGCGCCATGGTTCGTGCACAGCCTGGTACCGGACAACGCCAAACCTCTAAAATGACACCAATGATTCATGGCTTTAGCGACAATATTTGCACTGGTTTTATTTCACTCATCTGCTATTTTCATCAATTTAATGTGTCAATCAATTAAAGAGAAATACTTGTCACCTAGATGCATCGCTTGATAGAAAAATAGAAGAGAGAGAGGTTTTCGAAATTGGGATTTATGAAGTAAAGAAGTTGATGTAATATTGTATAACCAGTCGACAGGAACGGATACGTGTTATGATGGTTCTGTGGGTGCTGGTCTTATTAGCAGTTTTACCGATCATAAATTGTACATCTGTGAGGGACGCTAAAACCAGTTTATTTCTTTCAGTAACCTCAAGCCATTATCTATAAAACATCCAGTAGCACAATCGAAATCGTTGTTCAGACAAGTTGCTACATTAGATGTTATATTAATGAAAGAATGAAGAAATCTTTTGAAACGGCCACAATTTGCTGCGTCACTTACTCTTGCCATCAGGCGCCTCCAGCATCTCTGCCATTTGGCTAATTTCAAGGGCATTTGCTTCAGTGATGTCCACTTCACGAATTTCCCCTGACTCAGGATCCAGTCGGGGCATTTTGGTTGAGAAGCGTTCTAATTTTCGCTTTCGAAACGCTCGCATTACTTGATCTTCTGGGGTGACCGTTGCCATGATCTGTTCGAATGACGGTGCCGCCGGAAGAGCTACATGACCTATGGGGGGTGGTACATCACGCTCAGGGATATGATTGTGAATGTGCCGCCTTGAATTCAAGGATATCGTAATGGAAAGTCGAAATACGGAGGTTGAACTCGTGATAGAGTTTTGTCCTTGCTTTACTATGGAAAAGTTTTTGATTGTAATACACGGTTTGTAGATATTTACGCAGTAATCGATCAAGCATCACTTAATCTGACATAATATAGCATGTGTTAATTTCATGCGGTGAGGTTTTGGGCGGAGCATGCTATTTCACACCAATTGGTACGTTTCCGAAGAAAAGTGTCCCGGATAATTCAACTCTACTATCATTGCTATTATTTCCGCTGCTGGCGAGAAACGAAAGAAACACGAAATCGAGTAAAGCTCATCTTCATTGCAGCAACGGAAACTGATTAGAAATACATGTACAATTAACAATATTTTGACAATATAAACAGCGGTAATTATTGACACCAGTATTGTGTTATAGTCGGGCACTACGCGCGGAATTACAAATCTATTAAAAATCAAAAACCTATGTACACGTGTATATATATATATATAAAGGATGTTCATGAGCACAAAATAAGCAATGGCTTATCATCCTATAAGTTTGCTAGAGAATTGATAGCGGAGTAATTAAACAATAGTACCAAAAATGACATGATAATAGTCATACCGGATCTAAATTACACAAACAAATTCATTCGGATAGATACGAGGGATCAATCTATATATTCGTACTCATCAAAGCTTGATCGGCCCGCTCGAGTAGATGAATCCGTGTTCGAGTGTAATTGTTTTGTCTTCTACATCAAAACGGTCAAATGACGTAGGTGCACGAAAGTATGTTCGAATGATTGCTTGCATTTTGTATTGTGCCACTGTGTCGTGACCAAAATCATTGCTGTCACCTACCTTCCCAGGAACTTCCCATCCTTATCGATTCGTACGAAGGCTTTACATGGGTTAAGCTTGCTACGGGCATGGACACATGAGAGCTTACGCTGTCCCCAACGATTGGCGGCATCTCGCTGACGCAAAATAAATGGTCCAACTGCCCGCCAGCCGCCCACCTAATACAGTAAATTTACAATACAACAGCTATTACGGAAGAACTCATCGAATTAATGAAGTGCGTATACTCACCGGCGGCACTTAATTAGCTGTATCAATGTTTAACAAAAAGAAAACTCTCACATAGTTCAATCAGAGCAACTAACGCGAGCGGAGAACAGTAGTTATGACAAATGAAAAACTGATCGATTACTTAACGAAGTATTACCATGCACTCCGCCATGACAAGTCTTCGAGGGTCTTCGTTTTAAAATAACTGAATAGTGATAGTACTCCTATAAAAGTTCAATAATGGTGATTTATAAATTCAGTTTGTTAGCTGTTTGTTCATTGATCTATTATAGGATAAGGCGGGTAAAAGATTGAAAATATTACACTATTTTTCTTCTAATTCTTAGCACAATATCCAACGGGCGAAGCTTGTCTCAATAGACCCGTGGAGATAGTAATATTTACCTCGAAAGGTCCGTAGAGATCGCACCATATCGATCCGGTTGTTCCCATGAGCGGGGTCTGGATTTCGTAAAATATCGCAGCGTCTGATGTGGATACCATGTTGTCCTGTGTTTGATAGATGGCTGTCTGTTACAACAATAAATAACATGTCGAAATAGTGTAGGTAATTTATTCGTTCGAAGATATAGTTTCCAATGGTCACAATCAATAGAACGCATAATGCAACCATGCGCTGGATATGCTTTGCCTATTGTAGATGGGAATAATCTGGTATTATGCTAACACGGAATGGTAGAAATAATAGATCATTTCAATTACGGACCCGCATAAAGGATCAAGGAAGATAATTCTACAAACAATAAGGATAATAACAATAAGGATAATTACTCTTAATTATTATTTATATATCTCGCAGTACACAACTTGTAATAACAAGTTGTACAACATATGGTAAGAAATACAGATGTAATAACATCTGTATTTCTTGTCATATTATTAATAATATAAAATTCTGCATAACATAAATGAAAACCGTTATTTACCCAATTATATTTTTTCGCTTTTTATTATCACCCTCTCTTCTCTAGCTGTGTGTTTCTTCTATCACACTGCCAACCCACAGCCCTGCACAATCCGTTAATTTTGCTAACCTATAACCTAGGCATGCATTCCAATACCTTGCAGTAGCCTTTGTAGTCGTTCATGCTATGCTACAAAAATCGCTAATCCCCATGTTTACGTACGTATGTTTACGTACACCAGCCTCAGCACTTGAGGAGTTTTCCAAAATTACAAGAAACGCTACTAAATTCCTGGCGTAGAAATTGACCTAAGCAGGAAAGCAATACAGGGTGCGCGAATGCTATTAGAATCAGATGAACAGTTGGCCCTCCGCGCACCAAGATGATGATCATCTGCTCCGGTCTTTTCGGCGGGGGTCTGTTGACTGACCGTATACCTGTTATGTTTAGCGACCTGATTCTTTTGACGTATTGCTTTGTTGAAGGGCAGCCGATATAGTTGTTGCACGTGCAGGAAACAACTGCTGGAGAAAAACTGTCTGGTCCCGGTTGTCCCCTCTTTGGGTGACGTCGTAATGTCTGTCTAACGTTGTCTACGTCTTCTGTTACTTGTTCATGCCACAAGATTTGATGGCATCAAATAGAGCAAATAGTCAATGCACCGTAATTTAACGGCACTGTCTGTCCATTCCATCGTAGGCTGAACGTCACGTAAAGCAAAGTAATCTGCCCGCTCATAGCATGTCCTTGAGTACATGCGCATTGGAAACGCAAATCTCATTAAGTGGTATTACTACTACAACTAGAGTGCCCCTATCCGGTTCTGTTTCGAGTCACGCTATTAAGAAGGAGCGCAAGCGACACTCGCGGCGATTTTAGACATCACATCATTCCGTAAGCTGTGGGTTGGGAAACCTCCCTTTTGGATATAACAGACACATACATACAGACAGGTTGGCCGAGGGGACTCAGTCTAGCTGTTAACAACTGCGACTCGAAAGGCTTACCCAGTAGCTCGCTTTGACAACTGGGGGAAAAGCCATATCGGGGCCAACTCTCACAATAACAATAATATTGGGTTCGTAGCAGACGACATTAAGGGAGGGCGCCAAAGTTGTGTCCAAAAGTCTTAGTTAGACGTAACTTGTCCTAGTGGTGATGCAGTGGTAACGTATAAGTCTATTAAATTCAAACACACGTCTACAAACTTCATTTTGTAGTGGGAGAGAGCCGTTTGGAGCAATACATGCAGTATCTGATTTACTATACGAAAAACATATAATTATAAACGACTATGGACAAACGAAAGTTTTCTTACGAATTAATTTCTAGAAATTTTGAGAAAATTTCTAGGAAACCTAATACTATATCTATGTAACTCTATAACTATGCCTATATAATGATTAAATAGACAGGATGGATACGACATTTTTCGACGATATTTGTGTACGCGATAAATCTACTCACAATGAATAAACGGAAGTGAAATCAACGACAGTTTAAAACGGCCGTTCTATCTCTGTCTTGATCACTTTCATGTATACTGTATTTTTTCTACCTTACTCGCAGGTATGCTTACACGAGCCGAGGTTAGGCGCGAGTATCTAGTGACCTTGCAAGTGTTCTCGCTCTCCACCAGCGTAAATGCTCTGACTTACTTCGGCTTACGCATAAATCCAAACAGTGTTAAAAATAACTATAATTAAAGATTAATTAATAATACTACAAATGTACTTATTATAAATTGTTCTAGTATTTAATAAAATACATATATTTATAATTTTTTTTTACGAAAAATACTTGATAGGGTCGGCTTCCCTCTCAATTTATTAGCATCTTTTTCTAACATTTCAGAATCTGACTTTTTTGGTCTGGTGTTTGGAAGTATTTTCACAACATTTCCTGGAGGTGTACATATATCGCACCAATCATTCAAAAGAAAATCAAAAATTTATGCCACTTTACAGCCTGCAGTTCTGAACTCATCTTTAACATATTTCGGTCCTGTGCAACAGTATAGGCAGTGAAGGGCATTTTTCTCCTATCCTGACGACTATAGAACACATACCCCCGAGAGCGCCCCCGGTTTATTCACCTATACATGGGGTCTGAAATTATATATTGGACAGTCGGTGCTGGAGCGTGCCTGGGTATGGCTGACGTTTCTAAACTGTTAAAATGAGCTAATCATATATATAATTTTGTAAGCGATCTTAAGAGTGGAAATCATAACGTTTCTTTTTCTTAATGGCTATATCTAACTGACTACTTAATCGTGAACTCTTTCCGTCTGGATTTATCAAACCCAGACATGAATGGCGTTCACTTTTCAGAGTTCAAATGATGACGAACAAAGCCAGTTGACCAACTGATATTATCGTATTACTATCTGGTACAAAACAATAGCTTAAATTAAAATTTTAGTTCATTGTTTATAATATTTATTATTACTATAAACTTACGGCAATGTTATCCGGCGGTGCTGAAGCGCCCAGAGTGACTGACAGAAATGGTTGGCACGTTCCTATAACCTGTAATCGTAATACACGAAACATGAAAGCAACCGATGTCAAACAAAGAAAGATACTAATTTTTTTTATAGGACAACTTCACATTCATAGAAGGCTCAATTCTATCGGGATTTTATAACAACTATTAGTACGATGACGTATCTTATACGTGAGTTCAGTAACAAAGAAAACATATATATACGAGAATGTGAGCTGATAAAGGATATGAAATAATGATGACAATAAAACTGCCTTTTTTTAATGTGGGCAGTAGACAAAATGGTTTACTGCCAGAAAGACAAATTACCGATTTACTATTATTATGTTTTGCCTGATTTTCCTGTGTTATCCCCATGTAATGCCAGCTACAACAACATCAATCCAGCGCGTTAGAAGAAATTGACGTGGGTCAATCCGTCATCGAAGCTCTCACCTATAATACTGCACCACCGAATGTTACTCACTCCTAGGCAACCCTGTACACACCTGTGCAACAGCGTAGAAAAGAACTGCTTAGGATTGCAAAATCCTGAACCAATCAGCTCCTCCTGTGATTCTCGGTGAGAGAGAAAGTGTGATTTCTATGGTATAGCTATTTACCACTCATGGTGCCCTTGACTGCCGAAGTGTCTATCGAATTGTCTGTCTGTTTGCCATTCGACCTTCGTCGTTTCTAGCCGTACCTACAAGAGTGAAGAAAATTTCCTAAACAATTCAAGTTCTACGAAATGTTGTCCCTCTGTTTCGAGCCTAATCGTACCTCGTTTCATAAGGCGGTGTCGATTTTACGACTGTTCTATTAGCTGTAGCTTCTACAAAGAGTGGTGTTGATAAATCCGTCATTACCGGCTTATTAAAGATCGTTGCTTCCTTTCATTTCAGATTCTTCCTATTGGCTTTTTTCATTGCTTGTATTATTTTTTGCTGACCAACAAACTTATGCTGACTAACTCAAAGCCCTGCGGATAAACTTAGTTCCGGTGAGCTTCACAACGCCGCTACCTCACCAGCTGTGTCGAAGACAACAGCTGACGAGAAACAAGGAGTGAGAAATTCTAATGCTTTGTCTAATCTTTTATGTTTGGCGACGGCAATGAGCGAAACTTAGTGCGGTAAGACGGAAATAGTAGTCCGAGGAAAAACAGTTCGCCGAAAAACAGAAGCCGATTGTAATGGTGTTTGTCGGTACCTATTTTTTTGCACCGCATGGACTGTGTGAGAAGGATAGCTTTGCCTCGTTCACTCCTAAAGTTTGATTTTTGCAGTATTGCAATGAATCTATGATTAAAGTATGTAAGTGTATTAGATTTAGTAGACTCAAAGCTCTGATTAGAAGGCTAGCAGAGGTCGTCAATTCAAACCTTGTCATAGGCTATACGACAAGTGTGATTTAATAAAGAAAATACATTACGTTTAATATTCTATAGATAGCTGTAAGTTGCTGGTTTTCGTGCACGTGACACGCTTATAAGTGTACGTTTTCCTTTGGACGTTTTATTCAACTTTTGAAGTCCATGTGCGTGACTGCTATCGAAAATCGGTTTCGCTTCAAACGAGTATATCTACATGTACTATAAACTTGAGGTGTTTGGAAACCTTACGCTGTACCACTATCTGCTGTTTCCTCTCGAAGTAGGAAATGCAGAAAGATTCTCTACAAATAAAGATTTCGCAAAGTGTTACGTTAGTACCGTACGCTCGACATTTACCATAATTAAGTTTTAACAATCGTCACGGCCGTGTCGTTCTCACCCAAAAGGAGAAAAGGCAAAGAAGTCTCTGTAATCGAAGAGCGACGTGAAATTCTTTATTGCTTTATGATGACACGAAACGCGACCGAGACGCAGACGAGCTAGACACGGAACCTATCTTATCTAGTATTTTGGGGTCATTGCTAGGTATCTGGTTGTTTTAATGTATCAACAAAGACAACAACGCGCTAAGAGTGTGCGAGAGCTAGAAGTGCGAGAATCATTTGAATACCAGCATGTGATCCTCTGTGAGATCCAACAAACACTTTTGGCTGATGATTTTCATTTTCTGTCGAAAGCACCTATCCTACGATTTGTATTTAATAGCAATTAGCGCCAACTGAATCGAGGTCGCGATTCGCAATAGACATCGTTGCCGACTTGCCGAGTTGTCTGATAGTCAGCGTTGTATGTAGAATGTATCGCGATACGCATTAGTTTAATTGAGCGTAATCCTATCGCCTAGGAGTGGTAATTAGGATTTGTGGGATGAGTAGCACTCAAGGTAACGGTCGCAGCGAAGCGTAGCGGAAGTAAAACAAATTTTCAGCTCCGTCCGGATGCTGCCTACCAGTGGTAGATTGCCACCACTGCAGCTTAAATAACAAGGCCGATAAAGACGAATTTCAATCGCGCGTAATTTCCTTCTTCATCTAGTTGACAGTAGTCAAGGGTTAAATGCAACAGATTACGCGTAAGGCTGGCACAGGAGTTTGTTGTTGCTGATGCTGCTGGGATCCATTTTGTACTTCTAACCAATTCGTTAACAAAGATTTTGTTTTTCGCTAACGGGCGGTCGGTTAGAAGGAAACGTTTTGCCGTTCTAAAAAATTATTAACGGGGCGTATCGCGGTCATAAGGAGTCGGTAAAATTTGCTATGGTTGCTATCCGTAGTGTACGTGCAGCCAACATCTTACCCATTTGCGATTTTTTTAAACGTTATTACTTGTTAGAGAGGTTACCTACGATTTTTGGTTGATATAGTGAACACTGCGTTATTGATTTCGTATAGTAACTTGCAGATACATCGTTCACAAAGTGATGAGTACGCTACCCGACTTAGTACATTAACATTTAATCCCCTTGAAAAATCGATTGGTGTTTGCGTCTACCGTATTGGAGTGTACTTCGCTCAGTTAGCGATCAGATTCAACTAATGGCTGAGGCTACTTGGGCTCTTAAACATTATCCGATCATTTCTACTGTGTGGATTTGTATTGGTATCGACGTACTGGTGGACGTTCTAGGAAAAAAACGTTCGAACGTCTCCACTGCTTAAGAACTTGGGAGCCTCAATTCGGAAATAGTTCGGACTTTATCGAGTTTTTGGCAACGTTTTATCATGTTCGCAAGTTTGCAAAAGCACGTACCTTGCTAAGTTTAACCTTGGCTAAAAACTTGTCAAAATAATCAATGCACCTGTAGAAGATTATAGTAGCATTCTGACGACTGCGTTTCGTAATTCAGATATAGAGATTGTCGTAACTTCGGGTTAGAAAAAGCGTAAGTGCTTACAATTCTGGCAACAATTTGTCCATTTCGGACGTGATTGCACGGAGCCACAGTGTAGGGAGCACTAACGGCGATAACAGTTTCAACAGTGTTCATTGAAGCGGACGCCCGAACTCGTCTAATTCGTGTTTAGCTCAAGATCGATTATTCCAAACAAGTTCAACAGATGCCCGATAGTAAACGCGCACCTGAGTAACAACGAGGATTGTAAATTGCGCATTCGAAGTCCACTAA